GTTTTTACAATTTACCTCAGTCTGAGAACTTATGTGTTCGAAAATAGAGCAATTGAATGCCTGATAGCTTTGTTCGCCCACGGGTCCTTTATTGTGTAGATTTTAATTTTAGAACTGAGTTCAGTTAAGCTTAGTTCACATATAAATGTAATTGTTGTAATTCTATCGGCGATGAAGGTTTGCATTAATTACAACTATTTGTGAACTAAGTTTAAAATTACCGTGAGAAAATGTGACAAAGATTTGTAATATATGCAAGTAGCTGACAATCATGCAGGCCTACACAGGCTTAGCAAATTCCTAGGGCATTGAAATTATAGCAATAGATTAATTTATAAAGACCCTTTTTATATATACGTCCTGTACAATCGACAGCACACCTAGAAACTGACCAATCAGAAGACGCACGTGCTTGTGCATTTTGTGGCATATTTTAAAATTAACTCAAAGAACACGTGACCTGCCGTTTGAATCTACCCGACCATCATTTAATACGTACTTGAAGAATAGTTATTAGAAATACAAATCACGCTTTTGTGAAATATTTGTTGGAGCTCTTTGTAAGCATGCAAATTCAAGCAAATGTATTTGACAGAGTTCTATTTATTTGATTAAAGTTCAAAATGTTTACGATTTCTCTATTGTGCTGTGTGAGGTTTAAATATTTGTTGCCATAAAGTTTACGTTTTAGAAACTAATGTTTGTTCTATGCTTGAATATAGACTTGAAAGTTATTTTTTTGTATGGCAAATGATCACCAAAATAATATGGAGAAACAAAGATTAAATGTTGTTAGTTTACGAATGTGGACACGTACGTATAACTAAAGAAAGTATTTATTGTTGACGATGGACATCCATGTGGCGTTTCAAAGCTGAGCTACACGTACTTAATAACAAACATTTTGTACAATGCAGTGTTGAAGCTCTGTAACTTTTCTTAAAATATTTCTTCCCTTGAACTGCTTTAACGTTTTGCATGTCGTCGCTATACACAACGCAAAATGAAATGGAATTCCATCGACGACAATTTTTGGCATTCAAAGAATTAAAACTAAACGTGATGTTCAATGTAAGTTTTCATTTACGTTCATCATTTTTGTCAGTAAAATATTGAACAAATTGTGAGGTAAAATTTACTTAAATTATCTCATTTAGAAGTCTTCTGAAGAATGATGAAGTGTAAACAAAAGATGTTATTCTTAAGCAACGCTTTCATCAACTCAACATAAATGTCAATAGACAAGTCACTGTGTCATTAAACTATGACTATTCTAAAACGTTTTTTCTCGTCATTTTATCAACATTACAATTGTGTTGAGCCCACTGGTCGAACACGCAGGATGGAGACAATGTTGGCAGCTAATGCTATTCATGGAGGTAGTAAGGATGATACAAAGCCTGGTACCATTGGAATGTTGGAGACATTAGAAAAAAAGTGCAAAGTGGGTGATATAGTAAAAGGATTAGAAAAGTGCATTAAGTTAAGAGCAAGGTTTTTCCAAAAATTTACAAAGAAGATTTGAAGAAGTTCGAAAGATCAGATGAGAATATGTTAAGATCGATTGCTGTGTATTATAGCAAAGGAGTTATGGGCAAAGAAAAGTATAGAAGAGTTTATAAGGCTAGCTCATATGAGCAGATATGTGGTAGTATGAGAGCTAAGCGTGTTAGTGTTGCTAAATGCCCCACCCCTCGGCTGGTTCCCTATGATAGATTAATGCAATACATTAAATCTATTGATATTGGTAAGTTATTTAGTGTTCGTGAACATCTGTGCAATGGGTTGGATGAGTGTGAGAAGGTCAATGGTTTTTACAGAGATATAGAAGATATTCTTGTTAAGCTTGCAGAATTTTATTTGAACAGTGGTAAGTATAAACTTTTCAACTTTAATCAGCCAGACACATTTCATGTTGTTATTGGTGGAGATGGGGCCCCTTTTGGAAGAGATGATTCAGCGTGCTCTTGGCTGGTAAGTTTTCTAAAGTTTGGACATGGCGTGTTGAGCTGCAATGAAAATTTCCTGCTCTTTGGTGCTAATTGTTCAGAGAACTGTCTCCCTGTAAAACGTTTCCTCGGCAAACTAATGGCTGACATAAAACGAATTGAAACTGCAACGTTCTCTATTGTAGTTAATGAAGAGAGCATTGTTGTGAACTTTGTATTTTCTGAATTGCCAAATGTTATGAAAATGCTCGCTTTCTTAGCTGGAGAACTTACTAACAGTGCCTCGTATTTTTCTACTTTTGCAGATGTTAGTTAGGAGTCAATGTCAACTAGTGGACATGGAACGTTTGGCCGTGATGTGCACGATACTTGGAAACCTTGGAAGTATTCGGAGAGAGTTAATTAGGAAAAAAAGTTTATAACTATAAAAAATCAATTGAACACAAAAATGTGAAAGCCAGCACCAAACGATCAAATATTGCAGCTTTTATTGCCAAGCAAAGAAGTCGCCAAGAGTTTGTTCCTTTGGTGACTGAGCTAATTGAACCATGTCGAACCGCTTCATTTGAAAAATAATGCATGCGCCTTAGCTCATCGTTATCTTTTAAATCGAGCCATTGAAATGTCAAAACCTAATTTGCCATCTTCTTTCTCTCGGATTCCACCAGGTACTCCATTTTACAAGTTCATCGATGTCTTACGATCAAAATGCAATCTTAATAGGCTTGCGAAAAGAATTATTCGATGGTATGACGAAAATGCAAAGATCGACGGAATGGCATTTAACTATAGATTTACAGGTAAGGACTCTCGGATGTTTCTACATAATTTCATGTTTCTTATTGATCAACTTGAAAATGGTGTATCTGATAAAACTTCTAAAATTCTTCACATTCAAGCCTATCTCTGTCTTTGCTTGCGAAATGCAGTTGCTTTGTTTAGTCGTGTGAATATTAATGATGAGCAGGTAATACGAGATACCATACGAGATACCAAAAAACGACTGGGAAGATTGTGTGGAATTATGGCCGAATGTTTCTCACATAAACGTGGGCATGTATTTATTGTTTTCGGTAAGCTCATACACACAGGACGAGCTTATGAACAACAAAAGTCTTTCATGCTCCCAGAACTTCGCGAATGGCTGGGTTCGAGAAGTTTTGGTAAAAGAATTTGGCGATAATCGGCTGATGATTGCGAAGGAATGTGTGTTCATTAATTATCTTCACTTTTCATAAGCAATATCTGCTTCTATTTCTAATAGTTAAATGTGAAACGCTAAATTTATTACATTGAAAAATTAGCAATGATTTGTTCAAACACCTTCCATATTTCTTATCAATCATTTGTTGCTATCTAGGTAAATCACTCGCAAAAAATGTCTGAGAAGCCACTGACTCCATGGGTTATCTGTGAGAAGGAAGGGAAGATTTTATCTGGTCACTGTGATTGTATGGCTGGTTTAGGGGAAAGCTGCTCCCATGTAGCATCATTGCTATGGGCTTTAGAGGCTGGTGTCAGAAAAAGGGACTCTCTTACTGTCACTGACAAAAAAGCCTACTGGGTCCTTCCCTCAGCCGTAAAGAAAGTGCCATATGCAAGAGTAAGACACATCTGCTTCTCAAAAAATGGAGCTTCAACATCTCCCACAGCCATTTCCAAAACAATTCCTCCGCCTCCACCTACAGAAAGAGAACTGTCAAAGTTTTATGCAGAATTACAAGCTACTGAGTCAAAACCTGTCATACTTTCCGTAGTTAAGGAATTATCTGACCCATTTGTTCCAAAGTCCTGTTACCCTGATTTGCCAATTGTGATGTCTAATATTTATGAAAAAAGCTTGTTAGGTGCTGACCTTGCTACCTTGATAGAGGTTGCTCCCCAAAAGCTACTACTCTTTACAGTCCTTCCAGAGCAGCAAAGAATTGTCGAAGAGATGACCAGACAGCAGTCTGAATCCAGACTTTGGTTCAGAATGAGGACTGGCCGGCTGACTGCCTCAAGATTCAAAGCTGCCTCACGGACATGCCCAGATAGCCCATCAAAATCTTTAATTTTGAGCATTTGTCATCCTGAGCTAGGAAAGTTTAGCACTGCTGCCACACGATGGGGGTGCCACCATGAAAAGCAAGATAGGGATGCATATGAAAGCTTTCAAAGAACTAAACACGAGGCCTTCAAAGTAGAAGAATCTGGCTTCTTCATTAATGTTAATCATGGCTTCATTGGTGCAAGTCCAGATGGGCTAGTCAATTGCAAGTGCTGTGGCAATGGTGTCTGTGAGATTAAGGTATTTTATCATGATATATCTAAGCATATAACATAATGGAGTATTAATTATATCAATAATTAGAGCCTTAGCATTTTTTTGTTATTGTATGTGTTTAGTGTCCCTATTGCCATAAAGATGACACATTAGACACATCACTAGCTGACAAGGACTTTTGTCTGGAAGAAACACCAGTTGGAAAACGGCTTAAATGGAAGCATTTTTATTATTATCAGGTACATTTTCAGATAGGTGCGAAAATGTGTGGTTAATTGTAATCAGTATCAGCTGAGTCAACACACAATATATATTGCATACATGTACTAAACAGTAATGTTAAAATGTCATTTTCTTTCAGGTCCAAGCTCAATTGTTTTGTAGTGCACGCATCTGTTGTGATTTTGTTGTGTGCAGTGAGAAAATGCTCTACATAGAAAGAATTTTGCCAGATGAGAAGTTTTGGAAAGAAAATGTATCTCGAGTAGAGAAATTTATTATCAAAGGGATCCTTCCCGAGCTGCTTGGGAAATTTTACTCTCGCACACGTCAGGAAAAAAGAATACGACTCAATTTGTAAAGCTACATACATTAGCAGATCCAGGGTAGGTCAGAATACATTATAGTGGCTAATTTTAAATTCAAAATAATTTAACAGCAATGTTGCTGGTTAGAAATTTCAAAAAAATATTTAAGAACCAGAACATCATCAATAATGTTAGTTGTAAAGTATTTTAAATGGGAAATATATTTATATCAACGTATTCTGACCTACGCTAGATCCACTATTGCCTCTAAATAATAAACATTCATTCAAATGGGACTACTGAATCACACATGTTATTCAATGCACAGCTGACTGTTACTATTTTGTCAAATGTGGTCTTTACTCCTTTTGAAACAACAAAGTCTATTGGTTGAGTTGCAGAAAGGATTCCATATTTTTTCAAATATTGCCAATTACACGTTTCACATGGATTCTTACATTAGCAATCTTCCTAGTTTGCTCCACCTCAATCCCGCTTATTTGCTTTTTTCCTTTAGTAAAAGCTGGTATCTTTACACGAGCACAATACAATCCAACAGATTCTTGTATGTCAAACCCTCTGTCTGCTAGAATTACATCCCCTGGGTTAAACTTTTCTAGAAGACCACATTCTTCTGTTAAGTGTTTGTCACTGACACGACCACCCCATCAATCAGATATGAAGCTTACACTACCTTAGGGAGTAATTCCTATCAAATACTTGACAGTGTTATGGTGTTTGTATGATGAGTATGTCTGTGCCCTGGCTAAAGGATTAGATGCACGGTCGATGAAAATCCCAAAACAATCAATTATCACAGCACATGCTGGGCAGTTCTTGCGAAAATCCATGGGCATTGTTTTTAATAAGGCTTCTCCTTCAGGCCAATGGATAAGTGGACAAAGCCTGCTATGCAGAATATCCATCATTTGAATAAAAACTCTGGAAACAGTTGCCTCATGAATTCCATCAAACCTATAGGCTAAGTCTTTACCAGAAAGGCTGAGTCTCATTCTCATTAATGTAAGAATGAGTCTCTGGAAAGGGCTAAGCATACACTTGGATGATTGTGACAAGAAGCCAGACACAAAGTTGTAAAGGCACAAAAGAAGCTTCCAGGTAAGTAAACCTGTATAGAAGAGTACCTTTTCATCATCATCTTTAAATGCAACCTCATTTAGTTCCTTTTGCAATAATTTTTTCTTTAAATCAGAATTTTCCTTCCTTAGAAAATCCACCTCATCTTCAAGTAACCTCAGCTCATTAACAGTTTTATCAGTCTGTGATGACATTTCATTTGCCTTTGGTTCAGAGGTGTCCATTTTATCAACAACCTCATTGGGCTGCTCGCTTGACATTGCTATAAGGGCATTAGCAGTTTCAGATCTTCTCTTCTTTTCAATTATCCCTTGGTAGCGAGACGATCGTTCTGTGTTTCTCTTTTTTCACATTGTTGTGGCCAAGATTTTGACTTGGTGCCCAGTCTGGGTCATCTTTCTTTTTGTAGGTCTGCTGGTTTGCCTGTAGGAATTAATTCATTCTATTTTATGACATTTACAAGAAAGGATGATCGAAACTTAAGGCAAAATCCCATTTACTGACTGCTTCCTTGCATGGAATACAAAATGCCATACAAAAATATAATACAAAATATACGCAGATAATACAAAGATATTTATCACAAATAACACATCACTTATTTAGCTAACCATTTAGCTGAACACTAGTATCTTGGTACTGATAAAGACAAGTGTTTTTAACCTGATATGAAGTGGTCGCTACACACATGAGCATTCGCAAACTTTTCTGGCGTAAGATCTTCCCTGCGAATTCTTCGAAGCCATTCCTTTTGCCTTTCAAGTTGAAGTTGCTTCTTGTTCACATTCACATTACTTTTGACAGCAGGTAGGTGAAAAAACCGTCTATTCTTTTCTCTATTACATCGATTCGAGCATGCAAAAAAAGCACAAAAGTGAACCATGATGACCGAAAGTTTTACTTCCTATTACTTATTTATAAATGGCAGCACCTTACTTGACCCCCAGAAGAAGCTGAACATCAGCTGTGACGTCATGTGCAAAGGGTCTATAGGAGTTGAGCATTGCTTCGGGGCTGCTCATACGAGCCCAGCTAACTGGGATTCAGTGAGGCGTTAATTGATTTTGGCAAATGGAAACAATTCTATTCTTACATATCATTAGATAAATCTTCTAGAGCAAGTTCACTATATTTTGATTTAATAAGTATGCAAAACATTTAAAATTGAAACAACCAGTTTGGCCTAATTTGAGAATTTCAACAGAAATGGCTTGTGGCACTTAGCAAACAGTTGTAATCTTTAAGCTTGAAGTTTTGTTTCCTTTCAATAGCTCAAAATCAATTAACGCCTCGATGAATCCCGTGTAGCCAATCTCATATGAGCAGCCCCGTAATTAGATGAGTACATTGTTAATTGTTTTAATTATTCGTTATATGCATACCGTATGTAACCAGGTTTTTTTAGTTATTTACACCCACCATTACATGTATGTATAGTTAAGGTTATTATCGAGAGCTCACTATAACGGTCGGTCAACGGCAATGACCGCCCCAAAAAACTTGTTGACCGTTTGTTTACGTTACCGGTCATTTTGACTTACCTTATTTTTACGTCTTTCCAAGTACTCCAGTCGTGCGATGCATGGTAACAACTTTACAGCTTGAAACATCAACAGGAGAGTTCGTTTTCTCAAAAAATTATCTTTTCACCTTCTATGGTGCAAGTTGTGCCTAAAGTGAATGTTCGAAGCAGGGAGTATTGTTACAAGGATCTTTATAGACTGTTGGTATTCCGATAAATTTGGCGATATTCTTCTTCATAGCCAAACGTTGATTACTTCTAAAAGTTACTCCTTGCTTAACTCAGAAAATGACTCCTCACAGCTTGTCGGAATGTTAGCCTATTCAGACACCAACAATCGTTTTAAGGACTTTGCCAACTTGAACTTTGTCCTTCTCGTCTACAAACATGTTTACATAATTGCGTAAAAGCACTTTCGTTAATACTTGTTTAATGTAAAAGACGAGTTTTTTCCAAATAGACATGTTTAGGTATCTCATTCATTTGCGGCTGTGGACGTTTCTGTCGTTGTTTTGAGACCTGGTATGTTTATGAATGTATCTGAAAGGTTTTATCTTTTTTAGAATTACGATACATCTGAAAAAAAACTGAAAAGAGAGATGGAGGTTTATGGTCCTTTAAAATCGGTCAGTGTACTTAAAGTGCCTATATCGTGTTTTTGCATTTCTGCCATTTAAATAGTTCAGAGTACATTAAAGCATGTCAACAACGTTCCAGCGTTCGTCAAAATAAGTTGTACGTCGTCAAGTTTACATTCAAAATATCTTTCAAGAACACCTTTCAAAGTCGCGAGAGATCTAATTGACGTCACTTTCTTCGTGCGAATCTCGTGAGCCCGGTCACGTGACATTCAAGCTAAGCTACAGTCTCGAAAAAAGCAGAAAGAGTTAAATAAATACTCATAGGTCGTGTAACTATAAAACATTTCCAAATCGTGAACAAGTTTTATTTAAATAGTATTAAATATGCAATCTTATTTGAACTATATTCATTAAATGTACTTCATTTACTAGCCATGCACTTGATAGGCTACCCACATGTACGCATTTCGTACCTATTTTTACCGTCCAGCCTACGTGATGCAAACCTCGACTGAAATAAATCATACAAAGCTGTTTCTCGATGTTTGCTACAAATATTTTTCGCTACAGTAAGCAAATATGGGGTAAGGTTGATTGGTCGGTTTATCTTCAAGCGTTGTCGATTTCTGGTCTCGGTGTATCCACCTGCCTACCTTATAAGCTATGTACCAGGCAGTTGTTTGGTTTTTTTGGTGTTTGTTTGACTTAGTCCTTAGTTGTTTCGTATCATTGTAGCCGCTTATAAACATGCTGACGGTAAGAAGATTGACGGCAGGCGTATAGTAGTTGATGTGGAAAGAGGAAGAACAGTGAAGAACTGGAAACCTCCACGTTTAGGTAAATAAGATGGTGATTTTTTGAAAATATTTATTTATCAACGAGTGGAAGGAAACTGTCACTGCGAACAAAATGTAAAATAATTGAGGTATCAATCTAAGTTTTAGGAAATAATCAATCAATGTCAATCCTAAATTTTAGGAAGGATTTCAAGCCATAAGTAGGAACGTGTATTTTTAGTATCCTAAATTTTTATCTGTTAGCCCTGGGCTCATATAAGTTCGTGAGTTCTTTTTTATGGACTAGAAAGGGAGGACTGCTGCTACACACTTGGTATATTTCAATTTCATATTTTTTGTGCTATAAGTTACGTCTTTCTGACTTTCTATCAAGGTGGAGGGCTAGGTGGCACACGAAATGGTGCTCCTGAAGCAAACATAAAGCATTCTGGCCGCGCCGAAAATTTTGACAGGTATGATGAATTTTCGTTAGCTGTAAATGATTTGCCATAGTCGTAATGCTTCAGTTACTTGTTTTAGTGCTATTTTTATTGTGGTTTGAAAATTATTGTTCAGCAAAAGATTAATCCCATAGTTAACCATGATGTAACGTGATCAAGTGATTTTTTCCCCGCATTAAGGCCCGTTCACACTATCCGATTAGTCGGATCACAAAAAATGGATCATGTGAGCACATACAAAGCGAGCTTTCGACAGTCGGATCCGTCAGTCTGAAAATTCGCCGATGTTACGGATGTTCTGTTTGTTTAAATTAATGTTCCAATTGTGTCGCAGAGAGTACTTAAAAATTTCTTTTGTTTATGCGGGGCGACAAATGTAATAACTGTCATTTAGATTTAAGATCTTAACTGTCGTTTAGACCTTAATTGCAAATTGCATCGATTTTTGAAGAACATTACCAAACCTTTACAATATACGAACAAGGGGGAGTTTCGTTCTGAGCCAATCATAGGTTAGTTTACGTTTTAAAAATTAGCCAATCAGAACTCGCAAAACGCGAAAATGTAAACAAAAGGATTGAGAAATTTGCACTTTGTTTGAAGTCTTTGGTGAGCTACGTTTTTGAGTAAATAAATATAAAAAGCAAAGATTCATATAAAGCAACACTTTTTCTTCAAATTCCTCTTGGGCATTTTAAAATTACGATCTAGAACGGAATTTATCGGCTGTCTAATAGCTACCATTTTACACTCGCAAAGTAGCATTGATTATGTGCTTGGTTTACAAGGGGTTCACCAGTCAGAGCGTATGTGGAACTTTTATTCTGGCGCAATTAGATTGCTCCAACTTTCCATTGCTCTATGGATTTTGCAGTCTTTACTTCAGGCTGGTTTTTAAAGTTACTTGTCGGTTAATGAGGTTTTCTAAAGGAAAGAATTTTTTAACCGTTAAAATTTTCACTTGACGCTTTTCAATGTTTGTACTATGCAATTATTATAAAAACGACGTGTTTCATTTCATTAAAATTTTAAGTAGACAAGTATTGACATTTGCATTTCAACATGTGCAACTTGTACGGAACCTTAGGAAAACTAAAAACCAGCAGTCCCGAATATTTTAAATTCAAGTTATATTATTGTCAAATTTCCAGGTTTTGTCTGAGCAATCACAGTTTGTAGCATTTTTATTGGTATTGAAAAACATTTGCACGAATGCTCGGGTTGGTATAAAGTGAAGTTCATTTTAATGACAATAAACATTTCATATGTCTCAAGACTTCACTTTTTACTCTGAAGCAATCTTCTGGAATGGAAAGACCCTGCCTACTCATGCCTGCATGTTGGATGAGACAGCGCCTAAAATTGAACTGAAAATGGATTTTACTATTTTTTTTAGGGATCGCGAGCGAGATGAACGTGATCGTGGTGGTGAATATCGTGACCGTTCAAGGCGTGATAATGGTGGTGAATATCGTGACCGTTCAAGGCGTGATCGTGAACGAGACCGTGGCCGTGATAGAGATCGCGATAGACATGATCGTCGCCGAGAAAGGGGGGAGGGTATTCATTTTTAACTCAATATTTGGGAAGGAAACAAGGCAATTTTTTATTTGAATAGTTATACTTTGAATTTGTTACACGTTCATCGTCAAGACTATATTTAAAAGAGAACTGACGCTCTACTGATATGAATGTTACATCATTCCAACGGAAGTGTGAATTGGGTGGTACTAACATACCACACTATAACCCAGGAAATATTCTCTCAACACTACTCAATCCTCTCGCTTCTAATGAATTTACTCTTACCGATTCGTTTGTTGCCGTAAACTCTATCCACATTATTCCTAAAAATTTATTGAAGGCTATCAATTCGTTTCGTTTGACGTCGAATCTTTATTTACCAACGTGCCTTTGAACAGAGCAATAAAATAATTTTGGAAAGAAATTTTTGAGAAAATCAAATTTTAACTAAACTTGAGAAAAGAACTCTTAAAAAACTTATTATTGACTGTTGCATTAAAAGCTCTTTTTCTTTCGACAATGACATTTTTAAACAAACCGATGGGGGTTTCAATGTACTCCTCCTTTGGCCCCATACTCACTAACATAATTCTACAACACACTGAAACACACTGTGCAGTCGCTTTGGTTGCGGGACTAAAGTGAATTGATGCGCGCGCGTTAGTCGCTTGAACGTCAGAAACACACATGCAAAAACGAGCATGGCGACCACATTGCGACTATCAACATGGCGTCTAGTCATCAGGCTAAGTTACTAGCATCTGTTTGCATATTGTACGAGCTGGAAGAGGTTGAAAAACGGGAAAAAATAATAAAATGAAAAGATGATGGGCTCGTCAATAAACAGGCAAAGGAGAGTACAAGGAGATTTTCTGCACTTGGTTCAAGAACAAAGAACCGATGAGGAGCAGTTTAATCTGTATTTTCGCATATAAAAAACCACGGTGATAAAACGTGGTGATAAAACGTGTGTGTGCGTGTTTTATCACCACGTGGTGATAAAACCACGGTGATAAAACGTGTGTGTGCGTGTTTTATCACCACGTGGTGATAAACCACCGTGTTTGTGACCACCTGATAAAACCACCGTGGTTTACCATCGTGGTGTTTGTGCAGGTTTTATATGTATTTTCTGCATTCGGTGAAAATGAAAAACCACTTTCCTGTATGATGATTGTAAGTTATGAAAATTTAAGTGGAAAATGTAAATTTTGCTCTGAAAATGTTTAGGGAGGGGGAGGGGTGGTGGGGGTCACAACATTAATGTGTCTTTTTTGTCCTTATTCTTTGCATTTTTGAGAGAGGAAAGGGAATAAAAACGTTGAAATGATCTAAGTATATTAAAAACATGAGAAATTAAAATCATGTGAAATGGGATGTATAACGATAATTACCTAAGAAACTAGCCTTGTATGAATATAATGTACTTTGGAAAGGTTTCATGTTAGGTTAAGTAAAAAGGGTAAACCATATTATAATGAACTATAAAAATTGAACAAAAATTGCTTAGAGACAATACTCCTTATTTGGCTTTGTAGTATTTTATCTATGAACGGAAACTAACATCTGCAGTGCACATTTTTCTTTTAGTTTATAGAGACACTTGAAATAGTTGACCAATTTGAATAACGTCAAAATAAACATTTTTTTCCCGGGGTATTGTTATAAGGAATTAAAATAATTTGGTCTGTTATTTTCAATGTAAATAGTATTTCTTGGACTTGCTGAAACAATATTTTTGTTGCATATTTTTTCTGACACTAAATTTCAGTAATTATGGCTCTTCATCCCAAAATATAATGAAAAATCATGAAAATTTGTGTCCCCGTCCACGGAAAAGTACTCCTCTTGTGTTGATGTCAAAATTCAAAAAGCCAATATTACTAGCACTTTAAGACACGACAAGTTTTGTTTCAGTTCCAATTTTTCTAAGCTGCTGTTTGAGAAGGATTGAAAATAACTCGCAAGAATTCAAAGGAGAAATTTCATTGATAGCCAAATTTCCTCTTCAGTGGTAAGCAAAGAAAACATAAAGAAAACTTAAAATTCAGAGTTTATAACATAATGCAAGAACAATAGCTCTTATGGATTTCACTTCCTTATTAAGAACATACATTTCATTTATCATAGTCATGCTTATACGTAATCCAACAGATAATCTAACACAATCTTTATCTTATAAAATACTTAAAGCTTTATGAAAATTTTTGTATGTTTTTAAGCATTTTCTGTAATTTAGGGTAGCGCAGCATGCATCATATATACATAGCTGCCATCTGGTAATTTGACTAGTCTAAAATTCTTTAAAAATTTTACCGTTTCGCAAATCTCTTTATCATTTCATATTTATCCTTATTATGAAAACAAAAACAAATTGATTGATCACAACCAACGATAAAGTTCTACTAATTGATATTTAGGAATGTCTTGAAATGTATCAAATCATAATTACATTAATACGCTAGAGGAAATAGTAGCTACATCAAAAATATTTAGAGTAACAATCATTAAGAATTTTTAGTCTAAATACAGATAACAAAGAAATGTTATTGAAACTATCATAGACATTTAAGAATTATGAAATTTTTGCAAAGTGTTTTACGTTTTTACATGAGAATGATGGTAAACTAAAACTTGAATGCATGTATGATAAAGAATATTTGATTAGACATTGAAACTAAGATTTAGGATTGAGAGAAATAATCAAGAGAAAGAGGTACATAATTCAACAAATTGAAATAGGGCAAATCATCATCAAACTTAAATACAGAAGTCAAGAAATATATGCAGAACAAACGATACGTTTCTTGGCACTTGTTTGTTCTGCTACAATTATTCAATATTACAAGACCATTTTTGAAGATGGAAAACGCCTTTTAACTGTCTGAAACAAAATATTTGAAGATGTAAGAATATTTCAATACTGCAAAGTTGCATTTTTATATTTAGTTCTTAAGACTTTTTTAATTTGACAGTTCTGTCAAAAATGCTCTGAAATTTCATTCAATTTAGAACTTATATAATTATGGAGTCGAGCTTCTCTCTACGACAGACAGATGTTGTAAACAGAATATCATGTATATCATGAATAATGTAATTCGTAAATTTTGCTCTGAAAATGTTTAAGGGGGGAGGGTTTACAACATTAATGTGTCTTTTTTGTCCTTATTTTCAGTATTTTTGAGAGAGGAAAGGGAATGAATACGTTGAAATGAATTAAATATAATAAAAACATGAGAAATTAAAATCATGCCAAATGGGATGTATAAAGATAATTACCTAAGAAACCAGCCTTGTTTCAATTTGATGTACTTTAGAAAGTTTCTTGTTAGGTTAAGTAAAAAGGGGGTAAACCATATTATAATGAACTATAAAAATTGAACAAAAATTGCTTATAGACAATACTCCTTATTTGGCTTTGTAGTATTTTATCTATGAACGGAAACTAACATCTGCAGTGCACATTTTTTTTTTTAGTTTATAGAGACACTTGAAATAGTTGACCAATTTGAATAACGTCCACATAAACATATTTTTCACGGGGTGTTGTTATTTGAAATTAAAGTAATTCGGTCTGTTATTTTCAATTTAAATGATATTTCTCAGAATTGTTGAAACAATATTTTTGTTGCATATTTTTTCTGACATTAAATTTTTGCAATTATTGTTCTTTATCCCAAATATATATAAAAATCATGAAAATTTGTGTCACCGTCACGTATATAGTTCATCTATAAAGATAATCACCTAAGAAACTAGCCTTGTTTGAAAATGATGTACTTTAGAAAGTTTCATGTTGGGTTAAGTAGAAAATGGATAAAACATAATATAATGAACTCTAAAAATTGAACAAAAGTTGTTTATAGACAATACTCTTTTTTGGCTTATAGTATCTTATCTATGAACAGAAACTAACATCTGCAGTGCATATTTTTCTTTTAGATTGTAGAGACACTTGAAATAGTTGACCAATTTGAATAACGTCAAAATAAACATTTTTTTCCCGGGGTATTGTTATAAGGAATTAAAATAATTTGGTCTGTTATTTTCAATGTAAATAGTATTTCTTGGACTTGCTAAAACAATATTTTTGTTGCATATTTTTCTGACACTAAATTTCAGCAATTATAGCTCTTCATCCCAAAATATAATGAAAAATCGTGAAAATTTGTGTCCCCGTCCACGGAAAAGTACTCGTCTTGTGTTGATGTCAAAATTCAAAAGCCAATATTACTAGCACTTTAAGACACGACAAGTTTTGTTTCAGTTACATTTTTTCTAAGCTGCTGTTGGAGAAGGATAGAAAATAACTTATCAGAATTCGAAGGAGAAATTTCATTGATAGCCAAATTTCCTCTTCAATGGTAAGCAAAGAAAACATAAAGAAAACTTAAAATTCAGAGTTTATAACATAATGCAAGAACAATAGCTCTTATGGATTTCACTTCCTTATTAAGAACATACATTCCATTTATCATAGTCATGCTTATACGTAATCCAACAGATAATCTAACACAATCTTTATCTTATAAAATACTTAAAGCGTTATGAAACATTTTTGTATGTTTTTTTAAGCATTTTCTCTAATTAAGGGTAGCGCAGCATGCATCATATTTACATAGCTGCCATCTGGTAATTTGAATAGTCTAAAATTCTTTAAAAAATTTTACCGTTTCGCAAATCTCTTTATCATTTCATATTTATCCCTATGATGAAAACAAAAACGAATTGATTGATCACAACCAACGATAAAGTTCTACTAATTGATATTTAGGAATGTCTGGAAATGTATTAAATCATAATTACATTGATACGCCAGAGGAAATAGTAGCTACGTCATAAATATTTAGAGCAACAATCATTAAGTATTTTTAGTCTAAATACAGATAACAAAGAAATGCTTTTTAAACTATCATAGACATTTAAGAATTATGAAATTTTTGCAAAGTGTTTTACGTTTTTACATGAGATTGATGGTAAACTAAAACTTGAATGCATGTATGATAAAGAATATTTGATTAGACATTGAAACTAAGATTTAGGATTGAGAGAAATAATCAAGAGAAAGAGGTACATAATTCAACAAATTGAAATAGGGCAAATCATCATCAAACTTAAATACAGAAGTCAAGAAATATATGCAGAACAAACGATACGTTTCTTGGCACTTGTTTGTTCTGCTACAATTATTCAATATTACAAGACCATTTTGAAGATGGAAAACGCCTTTTAACTGTCTGAAACAAAATATTTGAAGATGTAAGAATTTTTCAATACTGCAAAGTTGCATTCTTATATTTAGTTCTTGAGACTTTTTTTACTTTGACAGTTCTGTCAAAATGCTCAGAAATTTCATTCAATTCAGAACTTATATAATTATGGAGTCGAGCTTCTCTCTACGACAGACAGATGTTGTAAACAGAATATCATGTATATCATGAATAATGTAATTCGTAAATTTTGCTCTGAAAATGTTTAAGGGGGGAGGGTTTACAACATTAATGTGTCTTTTTGTCCTTATTTTCAGTATTTTGAGAGAGGAAAGGGAATGAATACGTTGAAATGAATTAAATATAATAAAAACATGAGAAATTAAAATCATGCCAAATGGGATGTATAAAGATAATTACCTAAGAAACCAGCCTTGTTTCAATTTGATGTACTTTAGAAAGTTTCTTGTTAGGTTAAAAGGGGTAAACCATATTATAATTAACTATAAAAATTGAACAAAATTGCTTATAGACAATACTCCTTATTTGGCTTTGTAGTATTTTATCTATGAACGGAAACTAACATCTGCAGTGCACATTTTTCTTTTAGTCTATAGAGACACTTGAAATAGTTGACCAATTTGAATAACGTCAACATAAACATATTTTTCTCGGGGTGTTGTTATTTGAAATAAAAGTAATTCGGTCTGTTATTTTCAATGTAAATGATATTTCTCAGAATTGTTGAAACATTATTTTTGTTGCATATTTTTTCTGACACTAAATTTCTGCAATTATTGTTCTTTATCCCGAATATATATAAAAATCATGAAAATTTGTGTCACCGTCACGTATATAGTTAATCTATAAAGATAATCACCTAAGAAACTAGCCTTGTTTGAAAATGATGTACTTTAGAAAGTTTCATGTTGGGTTAAGTAGAAAATGGATAAAACATAATATAATGAACTCTAAAAATTGAACAAAAGTTGTTTATAGACAATACTCTTTTTTGGCTTATAGTATCTTATCTATGAACAGAAACTAACATCTGCAGTGCATATTTTTCTATTAGATTGTAGAGACACTTGAAATAGTTGACCAATTTGAATAACGTCAAAATAAACATTTTTTCCCGCGGTATTGTTATAAGGAATTAAAATAATTTGGTCTGTTATTTTCAATGTAAATAGTATTTCATGCACTTGCTGAAACAATATTTTTGTTGCATATTTTTTCTGACACTAAATTTCAACAATTATCCCAAAATATAATGAAAAGTCATGAAAATTTGTGTCCCCGTCCACGGAAAAGTACTCGTCTTGTGTTGATGTCAAAATTCAAAAAGCCAATATTACTAGCACTTTAAGACACGACAAGTTTTGTTTCAGTTACATTTTTTCTAAGCTGCTGTTGGAGAAGGATAGAAAATAACTTATCAGAATTCGAAGGAGAAATTTCATTGATAGCCAAATTTCCTCTTTAATGGTAAGCAAAGAAAACATAAAGAAAACTTAAAATTCAGAGTTTATAACATAATGCAAGAACAATAGCTCTTATGGATTTCACTTCCTTATTAAGAACATACATTTCATTTATCATAGTCATGCTTATACGTAATCCAACAGATAATCTAACACAATCTTTATCTTATAAAATACTTAAAGCTTTATGAAACATTTTTGTATGTTTTTTTAAGCATTTTCTGTAATTAAGGGTAGCGCAGCATGCATCATATATACATAGCTGCCATCTGGTAATTTGACTAGTCTAAAATTCTTTAAAAAATTTTACCGTTTCGCAAATCTCTTTATCATTTCATATTTATCCTTATGATGAAAACAAAAACGAATTGATTGATCACAACCAACGATAAAGTTCTACTAATTGATATTTAGGAATGTCTGGAAATGTATTAAATCATAATTACATTGATACGCCAGAGGAAATAGTAAGCTAAAACTTGAATGCATGTGTGATAAAGAATACTTGATTGGACATTAAAACTGTAATTTATGATTGAAGGAAATGATAAAGAAAGAGAGGTACATAAATCAACAATTTAAAATGGCGCAAATCATCATCAAACATCAATACCGAAGTCATTATAAAGAGCAAGAAGTACATGCAGAAGAAATGATACATTTCTTGGCTCTTGTTTGTTCTTGTTTGTTCTATGTTTCTTGCTTCTTCTGCAACAATCATTCAATATTGCAAGAATATTGAAACAAAATATTTGAAGAAGTAGGAATTTTTTAATACTGCAAAGTTGCATTCCTCTATTTAGCTTTTTAGGCTTTATTTACTTTAGCAGCTCTGTCAAAATGCTTATAAATTTCATTTCATTCAGAACTTATATAATAAGGAGAGTCGAACTTCTTTATACGACTAACAGATGTTGTAAAGCAGAATATCATGTATTGCTTAAATGGCCTCCCTTTCTGTAAGTAGACGGCATGTAGTTACAGAGACAAACGAGTCTATTAAACACTAAGCAACAGACTATTATGCATTTAATTTTGCTGGCTTAGTTAACAATACGTTTTTCCCATTCATCTGGTAAACTGAGTTAACAAAAGAAAATTTGAAATCAACCGATTTTAAATTTTTTGTAAACTGCTCTTAGTGAATTTCATAATTTGCGTCATTTCCTTATAGTGGACATTAAAATGTATTATTTCTTTCTATGCTTTCGTTTCCTAGAAACCTTATATCTATTTATTCAAAAAACTTTCTATGCTGGTAAAACCTACTTATATGAATTGTTGTAAGCATGAGTCGTTATAATGAACAATTTGCCTAATCTATTGCAACAATATTCAATCATCATCAATTTTCTGAAAGCAAACGTGGAAATACTTTTTGGAGAAGGAAGTTAAAATGTTACATAATTATAGAAATCAATACTTGATTTATACATCACCCAAAAAGTTACAAACAAACTGATTATATGATTATATTGGTGATAAGCCTTTCATAAAAAAAGTAAATGTTTTACTACGAAAGCTTTAAAGAAATTAATAATCATCCATCTTCTAACAAATAGGAAATAAAGATGATATCAAACTCAACAAAAGCGTTTCTTGGGACTCTTATAATACTGTCTATTAGTGGCCAAATAGTAAATGGTAATGACGACATATCAATCTGCAAGAAATGCTTAGAGAGATTAAAAGACAACGTGAAAGAATGGATGGAAACTTGCGTTGATAAAAATGGCAATGACGATAACACAACTGCATGCAAGGAAATAAAACAATATAACAAGGAAATGATGCAAATGCAAACAGAAATGTGTTTTTACACAGGTATAATCTTTAGATTTGACAAATTTTCATAGTTTCTTGTTCATAGGACTAAAATAATATGCAACAATAATAGGTAGAAGTTATGCAGCCAATCTAGTTTCAGTTATTAGTAATTTTTGTACAGTGAAAAACTCTTTCCAAAAAACACTTATTGTGGTCTTTCACCAAACATTATGATTCTAAAGTCTAAAAAAATTTGCATTTTTTTAATCCACTCGCATCGTTCTTATTTATAGTTTTTTTATTATTTATTTAGATGTTTATCCTAAGCCATATTTGATTATTATGAGCTTGGATAAAGTATACTCTGTTGATTCTATTACTGGAGATATTCATGTCAGCACTATTATTGGATCCAGTAAGAATAAATTTGACCATGCATCAAGATATAATGACATAGAAATTGATGTAGTTGAGAATGTGCTTTACTACATTGATGACAAAGACATCAAACGGGGAAATCTTGACTTGACTAGAAACGAAATTTTTGCGAAAAATGTTTCTGTTCATGATATTACAGTTGACTGGATTGGTCGTCATATCTTTTACATTGACTCCACGAACATTATCTACCAAATTTACTTGAAAAAGAAAATTCCAAGTGTTATGAGGTTTGAACCAGGCTTACAATTTTCCAGCATTGCATTTGACTCAAAACATGGGTAAGGCAATATTGAATTTTTTTTTATTTACTTGTAAGCGTAATCAATGTCAATCTATTGGAGGGTTTTCTTAAGTAAGGTAACATTTTTTATTATTAAAGACAGCATTTTAATTTAGTAGAAAAGTTGAATTTTTGAAGTCCGTATCATGGCCTGTTATTTAGAGGTACAAGAATAGAAAAAAATATTGATTTTCGAGGGAAAGAAAAAAACTCGCTTTTACCCAAGGGAGCAAATATTAAGTATTTTTTGTGTATAAAGAAACAAACGTCATATATTTCGACGGCTTTTCAATAAAATCATCGAGATTTGGCCAGCAATATTTTATTGCGTGACTATGAGGCATTTCAAACCAACTGAAAGGATGAGCTCAGCTCGTGTGATTATTCAGCAACACATGCAGTAGAAAATAACATGCAGATCCTGAAATTGCAAAAATCGACAGCGATATTTATGTTGAGCAACCCAAAAGCTTTCAGAAAAAATGTAACAACGGAGGGATCAATGTTTATAATTGATGAAGTCGTTAAATAGAATAAAACAGAGCGGTAGAAACAGCAATAAAATATTAAATAATTACTTTACCGATGAAACTTTAGTCAAATACTCACAGAATATTGGTTTGCCACAACCAAAAACAAAAAGTAGTCCAACTTCACTGTGCAACTTGGTGTTGTACATTTAATAAGATTACTGGCTTCGGCTGGCCACCTAAGAGCGCTTTTCTTTAGCAGAAAATGCAATTTGCTTGACGCCTCCATGGTAATCATATGCTTAATAAGGTATGCTCTACACAAAAGATTTCAACTGATTGGGAGCATTGTTTGTTGCTTTGCTGTGCCTTTAATATACTGTGCAACAATTTCAATACGAAATAGGAATAAAGTTTTAAAAAATTCACGAAGGTGTTGAACGTAAGAAACTTCAACCTTTCGTTTTTTATTGAAGATAAAAACACTGCGCACATTTCCACGTAGTTACATCAAAAATATAAAAAAGAATTTTAGTTTTCAAAAAATGTGGCAATTTAGAAAAAAATCAGTATATCAAGTTTATAGTTTTTCAAGCCTTCTTTTAACTTGCATTGAATGGCGGAGTATATTGAAAAGTCAAGAGTTGCAAATTAAGTGTCTGCACACTACCCTGCAATAAATCCAATCACACATCCAATCAAATCACGGGATTGGAAAATCGTTCCAATACCTTTAGTTGATGCAGTGTTTCTTAGTGTAATTGATGCAAACGTTAGATCTGTAGTTTTTCACTGTGAAGATAATAATCACTTTCGAGATTAAAAAGAAATTGTCTGAAAAGCTTGTGAAGCGAGAACTTTCTGAATATGTTATAAATAATTTACAAATTTAAAAAAATTTCCTCTTCTAACGATTCCTATGAAATCTCCATTCATGAGAGCCTTCTAATTAATAAATACAAGTCTTCACTCATCGTTCAAGAAAGTTCCATTGCACTTAACCTCTCTTAGCGTCAGTATATTTTACTTCTCAACTTCTTTATCATGTATTCCATTTTGCACCGCCTCCTTAATACGTAATTTAACACCTTTTGTAAATACAATATCTTGTTTTAACATCTCATTATAAATTATAATTTGACTGAATATGTCTTGAGTAAGGACGAAACGTCGGTATAAATTGCATTTTACAACTTTTGGTCTATTTCTATGGCTCTAATTAAAACTTTATGTTGGGCATTAATTTTTATCATATTAAAAGAAAAAATTAATTTTCACGAACACAAAAAACCAAAAGAACGAGAAAGTTTTTAAAGAGTTCGGGGCTAGGTGAAATGAACGACAAGAAGACATGGACTTTACCGTTGCTCAAATGAGTAATACATTTAAGAAATGTATAAAAGAATGAAAATATGCTGCGATGATAATTAAAACTGCCAGTTGCATCAAACATTTTCGATAAAGCAAGGGCCATAGTGTTCAAGCAGTTTTTGCAGCTTGTCTAATCAAGAGAATCTTAAAAACACGAACATGACATGGCAATAGAATCATCATTTTCAAATGATACCAATAGCGCAAGCTGCAGTGTCAATTTGTTCAAATTTTTCAGAAAAACAATGAAGAAATTTGACAATTGAATAGAGAAGGTTAAGATAGTTGTAAAAAATCGTTTGTCCAAACAAACTGAAAAAAAGTATTAACAAAAGACAATGTTTGTGAAGCTATAGCTCTTTTAAAGACATTTGTAGACGATGATCCATCCAAGGAGCTGCTACTTTTCATGCAAGATGAAACTGAAAAATTAAGAAAGCTTAAACTTGAAATGACAAAGCTTTCTTAAATTAATATCTACATTAAATGGTGCATATCATTTACCAACACCAAATTTTCAATTCCAACAAAATTTCCACGCATCAGCTAATTTTCAGCATTATGAATTACCAACACAATTCATTCAGCAGCCACTCCAAACTACAGCATTACTCATTCCGACAATAATCTCAAACAATACCAATCATTATAGAAGTTATGTGAATAAAAATAACATATTACATTTATTATGCTCTGAATCACATGCAATGTTTAATTACTTCATATATTTTAGTTCGGTTTTCAAACAAGGGATTTCAAATATTAAAGATGATCTTTTTTTTATAGCTACAATAGCTTTATGTTGCTATATTATCAAATTTCATGAATATGTTCCATTAAACCGTCTATATATGAAAGTAGTTCTGAATACTTTGACAACATCTTTGTCTAAATTGAAAAAATCTATCTTTCCTTTTATGTATATATTAGCCTGTTTATTCTTTATGTATTTCATTACGTATAGAGAAAACTAATGTACAAAACAAATATTTTTATTAAGGTATCTATTCTTGGCAGAAAGTACAGAACCTTCCTTATGGTTATGGAGCATGACTGCAAATAAACATGATATTTTTTCAGTTTCACTTCAATCAATAGCACATGATCTAACGCTTGACATGGCTAAAGAGAAAATTTATTGGCGAGTTTTAAACGGAAATATTTTTTCTTGTGATTACTACTCCCATGATGTAATTGATTTTGGAACTTCAGGAGGTCCCATGGCAGTATTTAAAGATTTCATTTATATCATAACTAGTGTCGGACGAAGTGTCGTTAGTGTCCATAACACAACAGATCAACGTACGAGGCGTAAATATTTTCTTCCTGTAAACAACGGTTATCTTGATTTGGCTGTAGCTATACACAGTATCACTCCTGACTCAAACGGTAGTTAAATATTTACTTATTTGACATAACAATCTAAGACTTGCAAAAACTCTCACGCTAATGTACTTAAAATTGAAAGACGTTAAAAAGTTTAAAGTTATATTGCCTTATTAAACGGTTGTTCTTCCTTCCAAAATTATAGAAATATTGATAAACATTAAGTTCAAAGTGCAAAGTGTCTAATCTGGATGTTTTTGTCGTTTGTCTATTCTTGCCAAATTTGTTGGATGTTAAATTTATATCTTTATTGTTTCTTACATCATTTCAACAAAATCTCTGGCTTGTAATCAGTTTTAAATAAGGAAAAAATTCATGAAAATAGAATGAAAGACAAAAACGTCCAATTTGAGCATGTTGTGCAGTGAGCTTAATATTTATCAAATCTTCTAAATATTTAGTACATTGCAAAACAGAGTTCAAACTTTTAAATGTTTGGATTAAACTAGATTTGAAACTTTTCATTTTCTTTCTGCATGCAGTTCAAAGTGAGGCAATTACGAAGTACTCTCATGGTTTTTGATATTAAATCTTAATTCATTTTACTTTTAAATAATCAAGACAAGGCAATGCCAAAATACATGAGCTTTGGCACATTTTGTTAGAAATATTGATGAATTGATAATTTCCTGAACATTTTTTAATTATCTAACTTTTTAGATACATCCTTTATAGTATCCCAAACAGCCAGCAAATCTGTTCATACTCTGTAAATTTTCAACATTTATTTAATTGTTTTGTTTTTACGATATTCGTGAACCTCAAAGATACCAACAATACATCACAAATTTCCTAGCTGGGTACGTCATAGTGGATAGTGAATGACAAATTGTGTTCTTTGAGAAAGAATATGTTTTCTTTTGAAATCCATAGTTGATTTTATTTTTAATTTTATTATTCTATATAGCGACAAACACATTTCGACTTCCTTTATGTGGACCCAACACTTACTATCGTAAAATTAATGGATCATTAAACTGCACGTGTATGAAAGGATACTCAGGAGAATGTAACTCGTGCCAGGGTATGGATTTATAACTAAAAAAACAATACTTGTTCCACGAGGACATAATTAAGCATAACCTATTATATCTATGCCCATAAAAAGATTAAGTAATACCAGAGAAAAAGGACCGCCTATTGACCAAATTTTCCGTGGAGGAATGTGATAATCCTTATATTATTTGTTTTAATACGATTTTTACATTAATTATGGCTTTTTAAAGCTGCAGGCTTTAGCTTATGTAGTTCCATTAGAATTTTTTTGCATATTAAAAAGGAGCATCTCCAAATTAACAATGCAGTGTAATTTTATGTCTTTTAATGTCGTGCTGTCTGTCATAAGAATTCATTTTTAATTTGTTTTTAGCTGACCGTTAAGGTTCAGCTAAAACCATGCCTAGAGAGCACCAGAAACGTATTTCTGAATAATTAAAAAGACAGTTACTTTAAAAATGCGATATAGTTTTCCACGTTGTAAGCGAAGAGTCTATGTGAACAATTTACTTTTTATTTTTTTGCTTGTTTCAACAAGTTATGGGGCAGTGTTGCCATATGGCAATAAAATCAACTGATTGAATGGAAAACTAATAGGAACATTAGCAAGTTAAAGTGTTAATAAGATATTTATATTACAAAAAGAAATGAGGACTGATCTAAATAAAAAATTATTTAGACTCATAATAGTCAAATAGTATCTACTTGTCTAAAACGTTTTGATATTGTACTCATGTAATATTTTTTATCAATTTTTTGTTACTAATTTAATTCATTAATTTCGCACAAGAATATTTTACAATAGCACCCAACATAACAGGATACTTTATATATAAACATGTAACTTAGAATATTTTGGAGTGAAGACTTCTATGTTTTGCAATATCTCTTTATTTTCTTTTTTTATCAGTTATCAACTCTGTTAGACTTCGGGGACCAGAAAGATCTATTGGCAAAGGTCGTGTAGAAGTATTTTACAATGGAGAATGGGGAACAATTTGTGATTATGGCTGGGATATAAACGATGCTAAAGTTGTTTGTAGACAACTTGGTTATGACAATGCTGTCAGGGCTTTACTACGAGGTAATGTTCCTTATGGCAGTGGAAGAATATGGTTGGATGGTGTTTCTTGTGTAGGAAATGAAAATATTATTTCGAGTTGTTCACATAGAGGATGGGGAGCCCATTATTGTGAACATTATGAAGATGCTGGTGTACAATGTTCCGGTATGTATGTACATTATTTACCTTTTTATAGAAAGATGATAAACTGAATTATTTGGGGGATCCTCAATGATGAATTTAAACATTAAATATGATTATATAATACTGAAACAATATTGACAAATTCCTTAAGTATAAACACAGCTTCGGATGTAAATTAACCATATAAACACAACTCATTACACGAGGACATAATTAAACATAACCTATTTTATGATTGCCCATAGAAAGATTTGATAATACTCGAGAAAAAGGGCAGTCCATTGACCAACTTTTACGTGGAGGAATGTAATAATCCTTAAATTTTCTGTTTTTTACTATTGTTTACATTCATTATAGCTTTTTAAAGCTGTAGGCTGTAGCTTATAAACGTCCATTAAAATTTTTTTTGCATATTTAACAGAAGCATCTCCAAATTAACACTGAGTGTAATTTTATGTCTTTTAATGTCGTGCTGTCTATCTTAAGAATTCCTTTTTAATTCGTTCTTAACTGACCGTTAAGGTTCAGCTAAAGCCATGCCTAGAGAGCACCAGAAATGTATTTCTGAATAATTAAAAAGACAGTTGTTTTAAAAATACGATATAGTTTTCCACGTTGTAAGAGAAGAGTATATGTGAACAATTTACTTTTTATTTTTTTGCTTGTTTCAACAAGTTATGGGGCAGTGTTACCATATGGCGATAAAATCAAATGATTGAATGGAAAACTAATGGGAACATTAGCAAGTTAAGGTGTTAATAAGATATTTAGATTACAAAAAGAAATGAGGAGTGATCTAAATAAAAAATTATTTAGACTTATGAAAATCAAATAGTGTCTACCTGTCTAAAACGTTTTGATATTGCACTCATGTAAGTTTTTTTATCAATTTTTTGTTACTAAATTAATTCATTAATTTAGCATAAGAAGAATTTACAATGGCATCTAACTTCTTAGGACACTTTATATGTATACATGTAACTTAGAATATGTCGGAGTTGAGACTTCTTTGTTTTGCATTTATCTTGATTTTCTTTTTTATCAGTTATCAACTCAGTTAGACTTCGGGGACCAGAAATTTCTATTGGCAAAGGTCGTGTAGAAGTATTTTACAATGGAGAATGGGGAAAAATTTGTAATGATGAATGGGATATAAACGATGCTAAAGTTGTTTGTAGACAACTTGGTTATGACTTTGCTTACATGTCTTTACAAGGAAGTTATGTTCCTTATGGCAGTGGAAGAATATGGTTAGACTACGTTCAATGTGTAGGAAATGAAAGTAATATTTCGAGTTGTTTACATAGAGGATGGGGAACCCATAATTGTGAACAATATGAATATGCTGGTGTACAATGTTCAGGTTTGTATGTACATTATTTACCTTTTTATATAAAGATGATCAAGTGAATTATTTGGGGATCCTCAATGATCAATATAATCATTTAATATGATTTTGTAATACTGAAATAGATATTGACAAATGCCTTTAGTATAAACACAGCTTTGGACGTAAATTAACCAAATAAACACAACTCGTTCCAGGAGGACATAATTAAACATAACCAATTTTATGATTGCCCCGAGAAAGATTCGACAATACCAGAGAAAATGGGCAGTCCATTGGCCAACTTTTTCTTGGAGGAATATGATAATCCTTAAATTATCAGTTTTGTTACGATTGTTTACATTCATTATAGCTTTTTAAAGCTGTATGCTGTAGCTTATGATGCTCCATTAAAATTTTTTTGCACATTAATAAGGAGCATCTCCCAATTTTCACTGCAGTGTAATGTTATTTCTTATAATGGCGTGCAGTCTATCTTAATAATTCATTTTTAAATTCGTTTTTAACTGACTGTTAAGGTTTAGCTAAAGCCATACCTAGAGAGCACCATAAACATATTTCTCAATAATTAAAAAGACAGTTATTTTAAAAATGCGATAAAGATTCCCACGTTTTAAACGAAGAGTATGAGTGAACTATTTACTCTTTATTTTTTGCCTGTATCAACAAGTTATGGGGTAGTTTTGCCATATTGCAATGAAATGAAATGATTGAATGGGAAACCAATGGGAAAAGTTCGCAAGTTAACTGGTTAAGAACTTATTTATATTACATAAAGAAATGAGGACTGGTCTAAATAAAATTTTTCGACTCATGAAAGTCAAATAGTGTGTCTGATGGTCCAAAACGTTTTGATATTGTACTTATGTAAGTTTTTTATCAAATTTTGTTACTAATTTAAATGATTAATTTCGCACAAGAATATTTTACAATGGCATCCAACATAACAGGATACTTTATATATAAACATGTAACTTAGAATATTTTGGAGTGAAGACTTCTATGTTTTGCAATATCTCTTTATTTTCTTTTTATCAGTTATCAACTCTGTTAGACTTCGGGGACCAGAAAGTTCTATTGGCAGAGGTCGTGTGGATGTATTTTACAATGGAGAATGGGGAACAATTTGTGATGATGGCTGGGATTTAAACGATGCTAAAGTTGTTTGTCGACAACTTGGTTATGACTATGCTGGCAGGGCTTTACTAGGAGGTAATGTTCCACATGGCAGTGGAAGAATATGGTTAGACGAAGTTCGTTGTGTAGGAAATGAAAATAATATTTCGAGTTGTTCACATAGTGGATGGGGATCACATAATTGTACACATGATGAAGATGCTGGTATACAATGTTCAGGTTTGTTTCTACATTATTTACATTTATTTACAAAGATAATAAACTGAATTATTTGAAGGATCCTCAATGATTAATCGAAACATCTAATATGATTTCAAATACTGAAACAATATTGAAAAATTCCTTAAGTATAAACACAGCTTCGGACGTAAATTAACCATATAAACACAACTCATTCCACGAGGACATAATTAAACATAACTTATTTTATGATTGCCCATAGAAAGATTCCATAATACTCGAGAAAAAGGGCAATCCATTGACCAAATTTTCCGTGGAGGAATGTAATAATCCTTAAATTATCTGTTTTTTTACGATTGTTTACATTCATTATAGCTTTTTAAAGCTGTAGGCTGTAGCTTATAAAGGTCCATTAAAATTTCTTTTGCATATTTAACAAAATCATCTCCAAATAAACACTGAGTGTAATTTAAATCTTTTAATGTTGTGCTGTCTATCTTAAGATTTCATTTTTAATTTGTTTTTAACTGACCGTTAAGGTTCAGCTAAAGCCATGCCTAGAGAGCACCAGAAACTTATTTCTGAATAGTTAAAAAAACAGTTGTTTTAAAAATACTATATAATTTTCCACGTTGTAAGCGAAGAGTCTATGTGAACAATTTACTTATTATTTTTTTGCTTGTTTCAACAAGTTATGGGGCAGTGTTACCATATGGCAATAAATTCAACTGATTGAATGGAAAACTAATGGGAACATTCTCAAGTCAAAGTGTTAATAAGATATTTATATTACAAAAAGAAATGAGGACTGATCTAAATATAAAATTATTTAGACTCATGAAAGTCAAATAGTGTCTACTTGTCTAAAACGTTTTGATATTGTACTCATGTAAGTTTTTTTATCAATTTTTTGTTTTTACTTAATTCATTAATTTCGGATAAGAGGATTTTACAATGGCATCTAACACATTAGGATACTTTATATGTATACATGTAACTTAGAATATTTCGGAGTTGAGACTTCTATGTTTTGCATTATCTCTTGATTTTTTTTTTATCAGTTATCAACTCTGTTAGACTTCGGGGACCAGAAAGTTCTATTGGCAAAGGTCGTGTAGAAGTATTTTACAATGGAGAATGGGGAACAATTTGTGATGATAGCTGGGATATAAACGATGCCAAAGTTGTGTGTCGACAACTTGGTTATGACTATTATTTCAGGGCTTTACAAGGAGGTAATGTTCCACATGGCAGTGGAAGAATATGGTTATCCTACGTTCGTTGTGTAGGAAATGAAAATAAAATTTCGAAATGTCCACATAGTAAATGGGGATTGCATTTTTGTACACATAATGAAGATGCTGGTGTACAATGTTCAGGTTTGTATGTACAATATTTACATTTTTTTACCAAGATGATAAACTGAATTATTTGAAGGATCTTCAATGATTAAATAAAACATTTAATATGATTTTATATTACTGAAATAGATATTGACAAATGCCTTATGTATAAACAAAGCTTCGGACGTAAATTAACCAAATGAAGACAACTCGTTCCACGAGTACATAATTAAACATAACCAATTTTATGATTGCCCAGAGAAAGATTCGACAATAAAAGAGAAAATGGGCAGTCCATTGGCCAACTTTTCCTTGGAGGAATATGATAATCCTTAAATTATCAGTTTTGTTACGATTGTTTACATTCATTATAGCTATTTAAAGCTGTCTGCTGTACCTTATGATGCTCCATAAAAATTTTTTTGCACATTAATAAGGAGCATCTCCAAATGTTCACTGCAGTGTAATTTTATGTGTTGTAATGGCGTGCTGTCTATCTTAAGAATTCATTTTTAAATTCGTTTTTAACTGACCGTAAAGATTTAGCTAAAGCAATACCTAGAGAGCACCAGAATAGTATTTCTCAATAATTAAAAAGACAGTTATTTTAAAAATGCGATAAAGATTCCCACGTTTTAAACGAAGAGTATGAGTGAACTATTTACTCTTTATTTTTTGCCTGTATCAACAAGTTATGGGGTAGTTTTTTCCATATTGCAATAAAAGGAAATGATTGAATGGGAAACCAAAATGGAAAGTTCGCAAGTTAACCGGTTAAGAACTTATTTATATTACGTATAGGAATGAGGACTGGTCTAAATAAAAACTTTTTTCGACTCTTGAAAGTCAAATAGTGTGTCTGATGGTCCAAAACGTTTTGATATTGTACTTATGTAAGTTTTTTTTATCAAATTTTTGTTACTAAATTAAATGATTAATTTCGCACAAGAATATTTTACAATGGCACCCAACATAACAGGATACTTTATATATAAACATGTAACTTAGAATATTTTCGAGTGAAGACTTCTATGTTTTGCAATATCTCTTTATTTTCTTTTTTTATCAGTTATCAACTCTGTTAGACTTCGGGGACCAGAAAGTTCTATTGGCAGAGGTCGTGTGGATGTATTTTACAATGGAGAATGGGGAACAATTTGTGATGATGGCTGGGATTTAAACGATGCTAAAGTTGTTTGTCGACAACTTGGTTATGACTATGCTGGCAGGGCTTTACTAGGAGGTAATGTTCCACATGGCAGTGGAAGAATATGGTTAGACGAAGTTCGTTGTGTAGGAAATGAAAATAATATTTCGAGTTGTTCACATAGTGGATGGGGATCACATAATTGTACACATGATGAAGATGCTGGTATACAATGTTCAGGTTTGTTTTTTACATTATTTACATTTATTTACAAAGATAATAAACTGAATTATTTGAAGGATCCTCAATGATTAATCGAAACATTTAATATGATTTTCAAATACTGAAACAATATTGACAAATTCCTTAAGTATAAACACAGCTTCGGACGTAAATTAACCATATAAACACAACTCGTTCCACGAGGTCATAATTAAACATCACCTATTTTATGATTGCCCATAGAAAGATTCGATAATACTCGAGAAAAAGGGCAGTCCATTGACCAAATTTTCCGTGGAGGAATGTAATAATCCTTAACTAATCTGTTTTTTTACGATTGTTTACATTCATTATAGCTTTTAAAGCTGTAGGCTGTAGCTTATAAAGGTCCATTAAAATTTTTTTTTGCATATTTAACAGAAGCATCTCCAAATTAACACTGAGTGTAATTTTATGCCTTTTAATGTCGTGCTGTCTATCTTAAGAATTCATTTTTAATTTGTTATTAACTGAGCGTTAAGGTTCAGCTAAAGCCATGCCTAGAGAGAACCAGAAACGTATTTCTGAACAATTAAAAAGACAGTTATTTTAAAAATACGATATAGTTTTCCACGTTGTATACAAGCGAAGAGTCTATGTGAACAATTTACTTTTTATTTTTTTGCTTGTTTCAACAAGTTATGGGGCAGTGTTGACGAATGGCAATAAAATCAAATGATTGAATGGAAAACTAATGGGAACATTCGCAAGTTAAAGTGTTAATAAGATATTTATATTACAAAAAAAAATGAGGACTGATCTAAATATAAAATTATTTAGACTCATGAAAGTCAAATAGTGTCTACTTGTCTAAAACGTTTTGATATTGTGCTCATGTAAGTTTTTTTATCAATTTTTTGTTACTAATTTAATTCATTAATTTCGCCTAAGAAGATTCTATAATGGCATCTAACATATTAGGATACTTTATATGTATACATGTAACTTAGAATTTTTCAGAGTTGAGACTTCTATGTTTTGCATTATCTCTTGATTTTCTTTTTTTATTAGTTATCAACTCTGTTAGACTTCGGGGACCAGAAAGTTCTATTGGCAAAGGTCGTGTAGAAGTATTTTACAATGGAGAATGGGGAACAATTTGTGATCATGGCTGGGATTTAAACGAAGCTAAAGTTGTTTGTCGACAACTTGGTTATGACTATGCTGGCAGGGCTTTACAAAGAGGTAATGTTCCACATGGCAGTGGAAGAATATGGTTAGACTACGTTCGTTGTGTAGGAAATGAAAATAAAATTTCGAAATGTTCACATAGAGAATGGGGATTGCATCATTGTAGACATAATAAAGATGCTGGTGTACAATGTTCAGGTTTGTATGTACATTATTTACCTTTTTATATAAAGATGATCAAGTGAATTATTTGGGGATCCTCAATGATCAATTTAATCATTTAACATGATTTTGTAATACTGAAATAGATATTGACAAATGCCTTAAGTATAAACACAGCTTTGGACGTAAATTAACCAAATAAACACAACTCGTTCCACGAGTACATAATTAAACATAACCAATTTTATGATTGCCCAGAGAAAAATTCGACAATACCAGAGAAAATGGGCAGTCCATTGGCCAACTTTTCCTTGGAGGAATATGATAATCCTTAAACTATCAGTTTTGTTACGATTGTTTACATTCATTATAGTTTTTAAAGCTGTATGCTGTAGCTTATGATGCTCCATTAAGATTTTTTTGCACATTAATAAAGAGCATCTCCAAATTTACACTGCAGTGTAATTTTATGTCTTGTAATGGCGTGCTGTCTATCTTAAGAATTCATTTTTAAATTCGTTTTTAACTGACCGTTAAGATTTAGCTAAAGCATACCTAGAGAGCACCAGAAACATATTTCTCAATAATTAAAAAGACAGTTATTTTAAAAATGCGATAAAGATTCCCATGTTTTAAACGAAGAGTATGAGTGAACTATTTACTTTTTATTTTTTGCCTGTATCAACAAGTTATGGGTTACTTTTGCCATATTGCAATAAAATGAAATGATTGAATGGGAAACCAATGGGGAAAGTTCGCAAGTTAACCGGTTAAGAACTTATGCACAGGGGTTAAATTAGCACCTTTTTAATGTGTGTGGGGATGAAATTGCCCTGCAAGGACACAAGATGCCTTGCTGATCATATAGATTAGTACTTATTCAACAATGAAATATTGTGATGATTGAACACATTTTCGCTATAAATTTTTTTAATACATGATGTATTCTTGTGACAGAACGCACTTTAGCGTATTATTAAATCTTTAATGTCATTTTTTGCATCCTTGCAGTTGCCCAATTTTTTAAAATAACATTTAAGTCAACATTGTCCGTAAGGTCTTTTTCACATGCAAGAACGATTAAGTCATTTAATCGCGTATCTATCTTTGTGCATCTCAAGCAGTTTTTGACAGTCATATACTTCCTGAAACACCTTTCATGTTTTGCAACGGACACTGGAGCGGTCAGCAATAGTTGATACGCCCTGCACACCATTGGAAAGACATTTTTGTGATTGAAAGCAAATAAAGCAACGTCTTTGAAGGGATTTGGGTTCTGATTTAAGTTGTGACGACACAATATTATTGAAAACTTCCAACTCAGACAGCAGTATTTCTGCATCAACATCTTATACCGCCGGTGGAAAAAGACTACACTTTTCATGAACTGATTCAGCCATCGGCCTTTCTAGTGGCAGCTGTAAGATCTCTCCAAAAGGTTTTATCTGGTCGATTCAAACTTTAATGATATTGGTATACTCGGTAATAAGTGAGTCTAGAACCAAGTACATTTCTTTTGGTACAAATCTTTAAAAGTTTTTCTGTTGTTATTTCGGAATTCTCACCAATTCGTTCGGGTGACTTTCTTGATCGATGATGACGTGTGTATTCTGCTATTACGTCTATTCCTACTTTGGTAACGAATGCAACCATTGCCTCTATCTCTGAGTCTAATCCGTTATCGTCACTTCGAATTTGTCTAAGGTTTTTTACTGTAGCATCAATCAGATTAAGTGCATATATTATATTTAGCTCCTCCTCCTGCTGTTGTTTGATTAGGGATTGGTTTTGTCATTATGATTTGCATGAAAATAAGAGCAAAAAGAAAGTCAAAACTAAGAAATTTCTTTTTTATTCCATCGCCTTTAGATTTTACTTTTGATTCTACTTCTCGAGCATTAATAACTTTCACAATAGCATTTGGTATTACCTCATAACTTCTCCAGACAGCATCAATGGACTCAGAATTGTAAACCCATCTTGTCTTTGACAAGTTTCGAAACTTTAAATTGTTTTCAACATCTTTGCAACTTTCTTCTACAATTTTATTTCTTTTGTGCTTTTGCTAAAGAGCACATATACGTAATCTAGAGCGCCGTACGTTGATGTACTTATTGAGCTATAATTGCAACAATGCTCGTTGAATGTATTAGACCGATGTCTCTGGCAAGGGATGTAAGGCACTTGTCGTTTTAAAATTTCTTGCAACACTTTTTGAGCACCATTTAGTTATCCAGATATTGATGTTGCGAAATCGTATGTTTGAAATGCAAGCATATCTATATCGATTTCATTTTCTATTAAAGATTTAATGACACCTTTAGCCGCTCCAGCATCGGTTTTATCAAGGCTCTCTTTCATTTCAAGCCGTCTCTCGCATGGGATGCTCATCTGGTTGACATATTTTACAGCGACGATAAGCATGTCTTGATTCAAAGTATTAGGTGTAGTGTCTGCAGACACAGAAAATACACCGGCTGACTTAATTCAGCACAAATTTCATCCCTCACAGATTGAGCCAGCAAATGATGCATCTCATTTTGTGCCTCTGACCTTGTATTTGTTGTACTATATGGCCTTAGGCGCTGATCGTCCAGCCATAGCTTGAGAACAGGAGAATAAATTGGAAAAAGATTTACAATCTGAATGAATTTTCCGTCCTTGTCATTGCCACCTCCTCTGGATGCCAACGACTGCTTGCCTGAGAGCGAGCCACATCAAGAAGAATCAACATAATTTCTTTGTCCTTTTCTTCATCTGCTTTCTCTTGCATCAATATTTCCTTCATTTTCGCATTCATCATTACATCAATAGGGCCAGATTTTATTGAGAAACGAGCAAAATCAGCCATAGTAGCTTGTTGGGACTTGCTAGTGAAGTGTTTATGAAGTTTTCCTTCATAAACACTTCAGGAAGAAAGATTATATTTTGTTCTTTTACTTTTCATTGCAAAAAATGACGTGCTTCATCTTTCTATTGCTACCAAGGAAAAATACTATGATTATGCCAATGGATGAAACGCTTTGATTTAATCATGGTAAGACTTGGGAAACACAAGTAGTATTTAAGGACAAAATTTAAAACTGGCCAAAAGTTGCAAAATTTTTTTCCGTTCAGATCATGGATGGGGTTTTCCTATATTCCTTGATATAGACTGAAAGCAGGAAAGCGCTTTTCTAAGAGTTAAATTTCATGAAATATTATAGGCTCTAAGGAAAGATCCTAGTGATGGGGAATCATGTCAAAGAAATACACTAAAAACCTAATTCTAATTGAAGATCGTAAAAAGTGCAGTAGAAAATTTGAAAGCTTATGTAGAAAATGCTGTGTGTTTGACATTTTTATCCATTGTTGAAATGTATCTGTAATACAAAACTACTCGTAAACAAATTGTAATCAACCATATTATCATATAAAGTAAATGTACATAATATCATAATCTATAAAAAAAAGTAAAATGATGAAGTTTAATTTCTGCTAAGAATAAAATATTATTGAAAAATCAAATGATTTGCTGAATTACATTATCTTTGACAATTGACAAATCAAGCCGTAAGATTTTCTTTTGAAGTTACACAAAGTTATTGCGTGGATTCCGCAAGACAATGCTGGCAATTGCTACCTACCATGCCACTTGTACTGCCCACCAACCAGAGATGACCGCGATTGCATTAAAATAAAATTAATAAAATCAGTTTATGATGTGTTTCCAAAGGAGAGGCAAACCTCGACTAGCTTTGTAATTAAAAGAAATCTTAAAATCAATCTATTGTAAATCTTGACATTTAGTTTTTCCGTTGGGACTTGTTAATCCTGTAGATTGATTTACCAATAAATTGATGCATTGTAGGAATCAGAAATGTTTGGAATATGATATCGAAATAAAAATTAAGAATCATTTTCTCTCACTCAAAATAGATGACGATTTTAGAAAATGACGTCAGATATTGCATTCATGAATTATTATGTTTCCAATCATTTATGATTTATCAAACATCAAGCACAACATAGAGTACCATTTCTTCAATTGCAATGTTTATGATTGTACAATGAATGCAAATTATAAATTATTAGTGAAAACATTTCATTTTTTTGAACTTTTTCTTAGTACAGACTACAGCTAAAATAAAGTGTTTATCTTTCTCATGACATATATCAGTGAAGAATCATCACCAGATGAGTACGGCATCTCTCAGAAAGTTTTGGTAATTCAGAAAATATACTGTTATGTAACGTTAAAGTATCGTTAACTTGAAATCATTTCATATTATAAAATAAACACAACGAAGCACGTGCGCTGATGGGTTTAGACCTGTGTTTGCATGAGTTTGCGAAAACGATCTAAGCTCAACCAATCAAATCAATCAATCAATCAAAGAGAATTTGCAACTTAATCATGACTACACGTTAAAAGAATATTATAACGGTTTTTTGTTTCGCATTATTGTTATTTTTTAAAAAAAATAAAAGATGTTTTTCGTGTTTGCACTGGCTTTTGCAAGTTTGTCTGGGGTAAAAATTCTTGAGCATGTGCAACCCTAGACATTCGGTCTCGGGCTTGCACTGATCTGCTCTCGAGTTCTCCCAAAGTTATCCTCGGATTGCATAAGCCTGTGCAAACACATGCAGTAAACATCTTTTATTTATTAATTTGTGTATGAATTACTTCATTGGTAAATAACATCCTTGCTTTATTAGAGTAAATATTTACGAAATGCTAAAACGTCAATGATTTTCACAGAATCTGTTTACAATAGACTACATTTACTATCCTAGATCAAAACATGAGACATTTTCATTTCATTATGCCTAAGTAAAGAGTTTCACGACTTTTTTTACCCATTTTTTACCCCTTTGTAATCTTCGTCGTTAGGTACTTACACCTCGACAACATAACGACATAGCGACATGATTGCAGATGGTGTTATAACATTTAACTAAAATACATGGAGTGCTACTTGTAATACAAAACCTTAATAATTTTTTGAAGCCGTAATTTTACCCCAGAAACGCAAGATTTTACACCAGACACGCTTGTGAAGTCAATTATTACTCCGTGCGAGAGTCTCAAAACACTAAGCACGCGTGTCTGGGGTAAAATCTTGCCTATCTGGTGTAAGATTTGGGCTTTTCGCTTCAATTATTAGCTTTAGGTAGCGCTCCATGTATTTTAGTTCTATGTGTTATAACGACTACCATTGGTAACCTGGCAAACATGTCGCTGAGTAGTAACAACCTAGCGTCAACGACGGTGTGTTACACACATAGCTACCTAACTTCCTGGAAGTGGTATCTTGCCTATATTGAGTTAGATGGTATATGCCTGAACACAGGCTAAAAAATACTCAAATAAAACAAAGTGCAAAATTTGTTTCGCCGTAATATTTTTGATGAACGTACTAAAACTACATTAAGTTACATGATAAGTTGCGTCGATTTGTAATAACTTTTTCTATCTTTTTCGTTCTCTCTTACATTGAGGAAGAGCACTTACAAGTATGTTTGCTTCTTTTTGTGAGGTTTTGTTGATGATAAAAATTTTGTACAAGTTTAAAATGGGATCTTAGAAATTTTCAAAAAAAACAATAAATAAATGTTTTTGTAATCAAATATTCTCTACCTCATTTTTGAAAATACCATACCCTAATATTTAAGTTACCTGAGATAAAAGCATTAAAATGTCAAATATTTCAACGTGACACGTAGGATATGCAAAGAAGAGAATTTTTATTGTGTGTAATTTACTCTGAATACATCACAGAAAATTTTTTTTTTGTTTTTGTTTTATGTCTTATGAAATCAAATCATTTTGATCTTTTTGCAACAAGTATCAAGACATGTATTATTTCAAAACATTGAAGCATCATTACCACCTGGATCTACATTTTGATATGTCTTAACATTAAGAAAAATTTCTTCAAGTTAATGCCTCTTCTGAACCTCTATTGAATACTTATCATCAAGATTAACTTGGAAAAGAACAGGAAAATAATCAAGTGAATGTAATGTATTAAAATCAGATTCGTCTAATTTTTTGAGCTGATTTGTGAAGGTCTTATCGGATTATTTCGTAATTTTTGTATTGTGTCAATGTTTTAATTTCATAGCAGTTTGTTTTGGCCTTTTGAGTTCTAGCCCAGATTTAGTTGTGAAATGGGACAATTAACAACCGTAAGTTATGTAGCTAAATATTCTTTTATTCGAATATATGATGTCAAGAAATGCTTATTGAATTTCTTGCTGAAATTTCAACCAAAGGAAAACTAAAATTGATCAAAAGTGATAATTTTGGAGAATTTGCAGGATATGAGTTCAAATTTCTTCTAAGTAATAGTCTAATCATGCAAGACACAAATGATGTTTTCGTGTTTGCACTGGCTTATGCAAACCTTAGAGACGTTTTGTGAGAACTTTCGAATTCTTGATCAGCTCACAAGCTCTAACTTCCAAAGGTCTCCTCGGGTATGGCATAAGCCTGTGCAAATACATTAAACAACTTTTCTTTCTTAACAAAGGCCACGTCATTGTTTATAATATTCTTAGGTTGTTGGTTTAAAATATATTATCTGTTTGTTTTTTTTATTAAATACAATGGCATACATATAAAAAAATTGGCACGCAATTCATACATGTTGGTAGCCTGCAATTATTTAGCTACTGAATGAAGTAGATTTAATCAACATAGTCAAAATAAAATTATATATGTAATATTATTTTACGTCAAACTTTTTCAAGATTTGAAAATGCCGTTTAGTTTTATGATCAATTAATTTTCTAACCCTAGAATCAAATGTTCTACACAGTAAAAATAGATTGGTCAAAATGACAAAAAAATTGGTCATTTGAATGCACCTGAGAAGAAGAATTTTTATAGATCAAAACAACCAATTCCTAAATTGGTCAAAAATACCAAAAACAAGAATGATTAAATTTACCAATTTATTTGACCAATTTTATTTGGTTGTTTTTACCATTAAATAAGCATTTTTTTCAGGTGCATATCCATGACCATTTGAGCAATATAGAGGATCTTTTTAACTAAGGTAAAGAAAATCAATCACACAATTATAAATAGCACATTTTTTGCAAACACAGAATACTTAAAATCTCTACTACATGCCATTAATTAACACTACAAAAGTTTTCTACTTCATAGAAGAAATAAAATGATTGACAAAAGTTGGCAATTGAGCCTTTCAATTGCCATTCAAATTTAAAAGCAAATGTTCTAAAAGAATAAATACATTTTTGCAATGTCCATTAACGCCTTTAGGATACTCAGCATTAAAAGTATAAAAAGAACTAAGTAAAATAATAACTGCCTTGACATTATTTTCATTTTCAGCTTTGCCACAATCATCCCCTCAGCCACCAACATTATTGAATGAATGTTTCTTAATGTTCCTGTTGATAGGAGTCTAGGAGTTGAACTTTTGTTAATGATCTCTTGAACTTCCCCCAAGCTTTTACCCTTCAACAGAGATAAAATTATTTATCAATTTTTTCACACATTTATGCAGAAAATATTATTTGAGACAATATCAACTCTTACATCAACAATGTCCCAAAATAGCTTTTTGTTCATATCTCGATGGGTGCATTGGTCATCTAACACATAAGGCAAACATGCCATTATACACCGGTTCTTGACCTCTAAAATAATCAACATAGCATAGAATTAATATATTACCATTATCACTCTCTAAAGCATTAACACTTCAGTATAAATAGGGATTTTAACTTATTGATTTTTACACCAACCTTTCTCATCTTCAACTGGACAATCCTCCAGCTCTTCAAGGATACTGCTGACATTCTTTTGCTTTGTCTTTTTTAATAGCAGACAGCATTTTATATTTGTGCAAATTCCCATCGTTCCTTCATGTCTTGCGAAGTTTTATTCCATCGTTCCTTCATAAACTTCTTGTGAATTTTTATTCGAGGAATCATCTGATAAATATCATGTGGTTCTAAATTGAAAAATCCTCCGCGTCGACTTGATTAGCTTTAAAAATATAAGAAGCAAAACGTCAATGAAATTACGTTATTGCTGTTGGTATTCTCTAAACGCGCTCGACCAAATCTGCCTGCCAGTAGAGCATAATGGATAATCGTTGAGTAATAAGGGGCCTGGACCCAACTGTTATTGTTGTTTGTCATTCGTAAACGAATGACTTTGTATTTTGTCTCTCAATATATATTTTACAAGATCCTCATTTCGTGAAATAGACTAAGTCTTATCTATGACAAACAACAATTAAAACGACCTATAACGGCAGACGAGCGAAATACAGACGAAAAGATCGGACAATCCAACACTATAAGTAGTTCGAAACGCGACACGCCATCAGCAACAACACGGAACCTATTTGGCCAAGGGGCAGGAGCATATCTACGAAATTTATTAAACCGAAGGCAGCCATACAACCAAAGTAACGAGCAGCACCGGTAAAGGCGTTAATAACACTCCCTTCTGACCCCGAGATAAAGAAAAAATTGCAGTAAACACCACCATCTTATCGATCGCTGATATTTGGCGCCATTTTCCGGCGGCGTTGAATTACTCCGAGTACTTCCCATCCACCAGAGGCAGGTCATAACCTTACGTGTGCACGAAAATGCCGAAGTACAAATGCCCCTATCCAGACTGCAATTACGAGACAGAGGAAGCTGAGGACCAACTCGCAGCGGTACTGTTGCAAATCCACTCGACCGGCGTTCACAATAACAGCCAAGCAACGAACACACGCACGGGCATCAACGCCACGGCGAAGATTGAAAAGGTCAGACGGCCAACTATATCCGCTGCTTGGTCCAGTGAGGAATGGACATACTTCCAAACGCGCTGGCAGGATTATGTCGAAGCCACAAAAATAACCGGCAAAGACAAAGTAATCCAATTACTCGAATGCTGTGACGAAACGCTTCGTAAGGACCTCACCAGAAACGCTGGCGGCACCCTCACAAACAAACTCATCGACGACGTCATGGCTGCAATCCGCGAACTCGCTGTACGAGAGGAAAACACGATGGTGGCCCGCATCAAACTACACAACATGCGCCAGGACCGTGACGAAACTATCCGCAGCTTCGGTGCACGTCTTCGTGGACAAGCCAGCGTATGCAAGTTTACGATTAACTGTCCCAACTGCGCAACAGAAATCAACTTCACAGACAATATCCTACGCGACGCATTAACCGTTGGAATCGCCGACAGCGACATCCAACTAGACTTGCTCAGCGATAAAAGTCAAAATATGACACTGGAGGAGGCATTTCTGTTCATAGAAGCCAAAGAAGCCGGCAGACGTTTGGCAACCCACCTACTCAATAGCCAAAGCATCGATGCTACCAGAAGCCAATATCGCCGCGGCAAACAAGACAATATGACCCAGGGCGTGCAAACCAATAAAACTGGGCCATGTTCCTACTGTGGCAAACATGGCCATGGTAGAAACGCCCCACCCAATGTCCGACGACAGGAATGCCCAGCCTACGGCAAAACATGCGATAGCTGCGGACGCCCTAACCACAACGCCTCCATGTGCAGAAGCAAAAACAAAACTAAGCGTCGGGACGCAAAACACAACGCAAACCGAGACCAAGAGGACGCAGTGTTTGACAACCTATGCATGACAAAAAGCCATCAGCATTGCAACAACGGAATCCTGCTAGACCACCATACTTACAATGACATGAATGACCGTTGGGTGAAAAAACCGTCACAGTCCCAACCGTTCCTCCATATAAATGCGAAGTGTCACCCAGAGGACTACACAGCCCTCGGGTACACCCTGCATTCTACAAGACATCGCTCAGTCACATTGAATGCTATGGCGGACACTGGATGCCAGAGCTGCCTTGCTAGCATGCATATAATGAAACGACTAGGACTACGCCAGAAAGACCTGCTTCCAGTCACTATGCGCATGCATGCTGCGAACAACAATGGCATCGATATCATCGGTGCAACCATCGTGAGATTCTCTGGTCAATCCAAAGACGGACGAGTGTTGGAGAGCCGTCAAATTGTATATGTCACTCGTGACTCAAATAAACTCTTCCTCAGTCGTGAGACATGCGCCGCCCTGGGAATCATCCCAAACAGCTTCCCCACCGTGGAAGACACAATGTCAGTAGACATACAAACTAACCAGTCTATTCACGTTGTAGCAGAACACCCATCAAAGCGCACATGTGACTGCCAACGTCGCCAACTGCCGCCACCTAAACCCACAGTACTGCCCTTCCCTGCAATCGAAGATAACCGGAAAAAAATAGAGGACTGGCTGCTCCATCACTACAAGTCCAGCACGTTTAACACTTGCGAGCAACAACAACTGCCACGCATGGAAGGTCCACCAATGCGTCTCATGATTGACCCAAATGCAAAACCTAAAGCACACCATACACCAATCCCAGTCCCTTTACACTGGCAGGACGAGGTGAAAGCTGGCCTTGACCAAGACGTGGCCCTCGGCGTGATTGAACCCGTCCCAATCGGCGAGCCTGTCACCTGGTGCCACAGGATGGTCATCTGTGCGAAAAAGAACGGTAAACCACGACGAACCGTTGACCTACAGGCACTAAATGCAAACGCCACTAGGGAGACCCACCACACCCAGAGCCCTTTTCACCAGGCACGCTCTGTTCCCAGTGGCAAAAAGAAGTCAGTGTTCGACTGCTGGAACGGTTATCACAGCGTTCCTCTTCACCCAGACGACAGACACCTCACCACCTTTATCACTCCCTGGGGTCGCTATCGGTATAAGTCAGCGCCACAAGGATACATTGCCTCGGGGGACGGTTACTCACGCCGGTTCGATGAGATTGTATCACACATTCCAAACAAAACCAAATGCATAGACGATACCCTACTTTGGGCGGATAACCTCACCCAAAGTTTTCATCAGGCTGTCGAATGGTTAGATATCTGCGGTCGAAACGGCATTATCCTCAACCCAGACAAATTTGTCTTCGGCTCAGATACAGTCGAGTTCGCAGGGTTTGAAATCAAATCAAACTCTGTTCGCCCAAGCAGGAAATTCATCGATGCTATTCGCCATTTCCCAAAGCCGCGCAGTATCACTGACATCCGCTCTTGGTTTGGCCTGATCAATCAAGTCTCATACGCATTTGGAGCCACTGAACGCATGCTACCGTTTAGAAAACTGCTAAAACCCGGCACGAAGTTTTATTGGGACGAGGAACTTAACACACTCTTTGAAGAATCCAAATCCGTTATCATAAATGAAATCCACGAGGGCGTTCGCATCTTTGACAAGACACGTCCCACTTGTCTTGCCACTGATTGGTCAAAACACGGCATCGGCTTCTGGCTACTGCAAAAACACTGTGCATGCCAGTCGACTGGACCACTATGCTGCCACACAGGGTGGAAGATCAGCCTGGTCGGCAGCCGCTTCACACATGCTGCTGAATCGCGATATGCACCGATAGAAGGGGAGGCACTGGCGGTCGCAGATGCCCTTGACAAAGCCAGGTTCTTCGTGCTCGGTTGCACCAACCTCACAATCGCTGTAGACCACAAACCCCTGCTCAAACTATTCGGTGATCGGGCATTGGAAAACATCCCAAACCCCCGCCTACGTAATCTCAAGGAGAAGACTCTGAGGTACAGATTCAAAATGATCCATATCCCTGGTATCCGTCACAAAGCCGCCGATGCAATCTCCCGCCACCCCACAGGTCCAGAGAACCCCACCATGCTTTACCTCCAGGACGACATAGCAGAGTTGAAGGACACTACCATATACACCGGCTTTGACGAAACTATCGCTTCACTCGCTTCACGCACTTACAAACGTCGCCACAAGCTGGGACAGGGTACGCATGGCAACTGCAAGCGACACCACTATGCACGATCTCATGAATGTCATTGAATCTGGCTCTCCAGCTTCACGTAATGACCTGCCGATACCATTACAAGAATACTACCAGTTCCGCCACAGCCTCTACACAGTGGACGGCGTCATCATGTACAGAGATCGTGTGGTTATCCCACCACTGTTACCCAAAAATATCCTGGAAGTTCTACACTCGGCACACCAGGGCATTTCATTTATGACATCCCGCGCAGAGGACTCAGTCTTCTGGCCGAGAATCACCTCAGATATTGCAGCAATGCGTACGCAATGCAACCACTGCAACCGGATGGCACCATCCCAACCCAGCGCACCACCCACACCAACCATCTCACCAGCCTACCCCTTTCAGTGCATCTGTGCGGATTATTTCCACTACAAAGGATCCAACTATCTCGTAATCGTAGACCGTTACTCTAACTGGCCTATTATCGAACGAGCCAAAGACGGTTGCGACGGACTAATCAATTGCCTACGTCGCGTCTTCACCACCTTTGGGATCCCAGACGAATGCGCTACTGACGGCGGACCAGAATTCACCGCCGTCAAAACACGGCAGTTCCTCAAACAATGGGGAGTACACCACCGCCTCGCCTCCGTTGCATTCCCGCACTCAAATTGCCGCGCGGAGGTTGCCGTTAAAACTGTGAAACGCCTCATCACGAACAATACCGGCCCCACTGGTAGCCTCAACACAAACGCCTTACAAATTGCTGTTCTACAATATCGTAACACGCCTGATACCGACACGAAATTATCACCGGCCCAATGCGTCTTCGGTAGACCCATTAAGGATTTCATACCAATTTTCCCCGGCCGTTATAGGCCACACGTCACCTGGAGGGAAACACTCAATGCTCGCGAGGAGGCTTTACGAAACCGGCACATGAGAGCGGCGGAACGTTGGTCAGAACACAGAAGAAGATTACCACCTCTGTCCATTGGACATCACGTAAGAATACAGAACCAAACAGGACCGTACCCTACGAAATGGGACAAGACTGGAACAGTCATCGAAGTCCTTCAACACGATCAATACCGCGTGAAAGTCGACGGGTCCAACAGAATTACACTAAGAAACAGAAAATTTCTGCGGCAATTCACACCTGTACAAGAGCAGTTACCCAAATATACTATTGATACGGACCTGCTGCTGATACCAAAAGTCTCAACGGAGAACCTTACTCCCAACAAAATGACAGCCAGCAGAAAACAAACACCGTCATTACCATGTCTAAGACCGGCGACACAGACTGATACCCTGGAGCCAGCACCACTACCGAGCACAGATACCGCAGATGGAACTTCACCACACGCAACCAAAATACCTGAAGATGCCAGTGAACCTACACCAGCGACCACAAAGCCAAGCAAGAAAGCACCACTAGCTCTACGCAGATTACTCGATTTCAACAAGAAAGGGCTGTTAGAAAAGTGAGAGGATGAACAAATATCATAGAACAACTTTATATTACGCTTTCCTATACTAGTAAAGACTTAGGGGGGGATAGAGCATAATGGGATAATCGTTGAGTAATAAGGGGCCTGGACCCAACTGTTATTGTTGTTTGTCCTTCGTAAACGAATGACCTTTGTATTTTGTCTCTTAATATATATTTTACAAGATCCTCATTTCGTGAAATAGACTAAGTCTTATCTAGCCAGCAAAACGTAAACAAGGCAAGTCATCTATAAATCTAATTTTAAATTATTATTTTCTACACTAGATTTATGCACGAGACAACGACCCTCACACATGCGACCTACATTTCAGGATGAGACAATACCTTTAAAATCTTCGACAATTTCATCCAATTTGTTGTTTTTCAAAAAAAGAATAATGTCAGCGACAGATGATTGTTTGTGATTTCCATTTTGCCCACAATACAAAAGTTTAAACGCTTAAATGCACTTCAACAAAGCACAAGAAGTTTAGAAACACGCCACGCGACTACATACATCAGCAAGTATATAGGAGTTATTGTTCCAGTTTATATTACAGTTCAATGGCATTGAGTTCTATAATAACTGGAGCGGCTATCTCAAGCGCGGCCTTAGATATCTGATGATGCCAAAAAAATGGCGGATTTCGTCTTTTGCCGCTGAGATTTACCGAAATTGACCGCTTTTCCGAAAATTTCACAATTTCCCACTCCCTCCTGAGGAAAGAGTGAGGAAAATGTATGTGTGTATTTGGGATTCGGCAAGCAATTTTTTGATGAAAATCAAGGTAAAAACCTTAAATTCATAACAGCGAGTCAACTGTGGTTGTCAGTTATCTGCTCCTACGAGGATGCATTTATAACTATCGACGAAAGACCTATATGTCGGCTACACATGTATGAATGCAGATGTGCGTCGTTTTCTTACCAGCGTCAAACTTGTTTGATTGATTAAACTCTTTAGTCTATACAAAAAAGTATATCATAGTTCATCTCCACGGTTCACGAGAGAGAAGTTAGCTTATTTTTCATCATTGTTATTTTGCTTCTTTTCATGCAATGGGTAATGGCTTTTTCGCCACAATTGTAGGATTTTTACTTGTTTCTTTAAAAAAGTAAATATTAAATCTCTGGATATTTACGGATTTTCTGTAATTGAGTTTCATATGAAATTTCAAAAAGACTCAAGTCTGCATAGGTTTGGTAAATGAAAACAAACTATATTGTATAGAAATTACTTTAAGTAACCTTTTTGTGATGTTCTGAAGTGCAACTGCATCAAATACTTGTAAAGTTGTAGCACATGATTTTGTTGTATTGATATATGAATTGGGCAAAATGCAAATAATCATCAAAACTTTATGCTTCCAATGGTGTTTATAATTCATTTGTAGTTTTAATACTCCTACCTTTCTTTTTCACTTTGTTTTGTTTTTCCTATATTTGCAATATAAGTACACAATTTGAATGATTAACACAGTTTTCACCTCAATAATAAATGTCATAAGCAGTTGGTAGTGCATTTTGTTCTCTGAGTATCCACATCTGGTGTTTTGTTCATACAAGAATGATGAAGTGCAAGTAGATATGTCATAGCAAGGCAATAAAACCAAATGAATTACATACCTATAGTGTATTTTTATGCTAGAAGCTTAAAAGCTTTTTAGAAATTAGAATATTATTGTATTATATTACCTCTATATCATCAATCTCATGATAAGAAATAAGAAGCAAAAAATTTGTAGAAAAGCTTTGAAAAGTGAAGAACTTTTCTTTAAAAAAGCAGCAATAATGCATATGATAAATCTCCATTCTGTACTCTAATAGGTAAATAAGCTAAAAATTTTCTTAAAGAAATATTAGAAATATATAAGAAATATACAGTACAGTAACTTTAAAGGTTTCATCACTGAATCTTTATGCTTCAGTATAGTGCATTAGATATTAGTAACATTCAAACACCGCTCAACTAAAATATTTTGATAAAGATACGACATGATTTAAACATTAAGTTACATAAAATCCAATGGCTTATACAGTTTGAAGCTTCACATCTGCATTGAGTCATCATCAATCTCAGTACAAATGTTTACATAGACACAAACTTTATGGCCTTCTATTTTACATGTTTGTGAATTGACATTTCATTAAACATCAAAACACACACAACCTTCTTGCCATCTTTCTTTGGATCATGAACTTTAACTTCAAAGCATTCAAGGCATCCTTAGTGAATCCATTGTCTCCATCCATAGAATTTAACCATGATCAAATTATATAACTCTGGGTAGAGCAGACAATAAATCAATTATCTTTACAGCATTATCATTTTTTAAGACTCTGCCTGGTCAATAACATCTTCCAGTCATCTTTACTCCTTGATCTTCCCTGCATGTTGTCAGCAAATAACAAGCTCTGCTTCAAATCATGGTTACCGTTGGGGATGATCATTTCTTTTCGCTGCCATTTTACGGCAGCGAAACATACCACGAGAGTTGAATTCGCCATATTTGTTTTAGATTATAGATTAGCCAATCAAAGATTTTATAATCAAACCCTTATACCAAGTCATCGTAGTCACCTTTTTGGGATTAGATTGGATTTTGAAATCTTCCAATGGTGAGCATGACTTTATAGACCTCGCTAGAAAGGCTCACGCGTTTGGCGTTAGAAAATATGCTCCCCAGAAGTTCATGTCTTTCTTTATGTCTAACTACGACACTGCATGTAAAGGATTTCCGCTCTCGTCGAGCAAAATAGTGTCCGCATCCTGATGTTTTTGGTCCCGTACAGCCATGTCAATACTGAAATTTAATAATAGTGAACTGTATACAACATTTTTGAGTTGATAGAGTTGAACTGAAATTGAATTTGCAATAAAATTTCTAAATCAATCCCTGTCGTGTATACTTCAATTTTAGCTGAAACATAAAATTTGCTCATCTCATTTTATCGTCTCGCTGTTATGAGCAGAATTCAATATTTTACAATAAAAACAGCAGGTGATTAAAATCAAGCATTTATTGAACATTCCAAATTCTTTATTATCAAGAAAAAGCAAAGACATCATGTAGATGGTTGCGTCTTCATGAATCTTTCTAAATTTGTTAAAAAGTTTACCTTTCATAGTGTCATTGTTCTTATGTCCAGAATTTTGGTAGATTTGTCATAAAAAACCTGAATGTCATTTTCGTGATTGAATTCGCACTTCATATGTTTTATATTGATGCATCTGTTGATTTTGGTGGGATTTTCCCAATAACACATTGGATAATTTATCATTTCACAATACTGACCTTTCTTGCATTATCACCAACAATTAATTTCACTTTTCTTTTCAAATATCATTGGTACAGCATGGCTAAAAAATCAACAAGATGCATCAATATCATGAGACGTTACAGAATTTCAGTTATGCATATCATAAATGCGGAATGATTTTAATTTTATGTAACATGGCTTTTATCAAGAAGAATTTTTTTCCTCTTTTTTACAGTCATCTATCTCTTTATCTTATTCGTAACACAGATGATGACATAAAAACGTTTTGCTAGGTATGTCATTAGAAAATGCGCCTAATTGGAGTGAAAAGATCACTTTTTCACGTGATAGTACACGTGATTTTTTTCTAGTCCATAATTGTTCAACTTGTTGTGAGATAGACTATTTAAAATATTTGTTTGCGTCAAAAGTACACAAAATGACAAAACTTCATTGACCACGTTTCAAAGTTGGAACGCTGAGAAATTCAGAGAAGCTCTGTTTATCGATTTTCTTAACTTCCTAAATTATAAATCTTTAATTTTTCAACTATCTTACTTGTAAAAGGCTTGCTGCCCCGTCTTCCTTTATGATTATTTCAGTTAGTTTGCATTTAATTCATGATGTTCAATAATTGAAATAAATTATAGTAAATTGAGAAAGGTTTATTGGCTTAAAGCTTCCAAGTCATAACTTCTTTGTGTTTACTTCAGTCATAGCTAAAATAAAAAATTTACATTTCATATTCTATTGGGTATGAACAGAATTCAATATTTTACAATAAAAACAGCAGGTGATTAAAATCAAGCATTTATTCAACATTCCGATGTCTTTATTATCAAGCAAAGCAAACACATCATGTAGTTGGTTGCGTCGTTTTTAATCTTTCTGAATTTGTGAAGGTATGTTGATTTTAAAGTTCACCTATCATAGTATTATAGTTCTTATGTCTAGAATTTTGTTATATTTGTCATAAAAAATCAGAATGTCATTTTCGTGGTGAAATTCGCACTTCATATAATTTACATTGATACATCTGTTGATTTTGGTTGGATTTTTTAAATGACACATTGGATAATTTATCAATTCAAAATACTGACCTTTCTTGTATTATCACCAACAATAAATTTCTCTAGTCTTTTCAAATACCATTGGTACGGCAGGGCTAAAAAATCAACAAAATGAATCAAAATCATGACACGTCGTAGAATTTCAGTCATGCATATCATTATGCGTAATAATTTTAATTTTATGTAACATGGCTTTTATCAAGAAGAATTTTTTTCCTCTTTTATACAGTCATCTATCTATTTATCTTATTCGTACCACAGAGGATGACATAAAAACGTTTTGTAGGGTATGACTTTAGAAATTGCGCCTAGTTGGAGTAAAAAGCTCACTTCTTCACGTGATAGTACACGTGATTTTTTTCTGGTCTATAATTGTTCAACTTGTTGTAAGATAGACAATATAAAATATTTGTTTGCGTCAAAAGTTCACAAAATTATAAAACTTTGCATGATGAACTGTCAAGTCCTAACGCTATCAATTTTAAAATATTTCTGATTACTGAGATGTGACAAAATTATTCAAAACTAGAGACTTCGAGATTAATTAGAAAATTTAACGAGACTTACCCAAAGTCGAAGTTTGATTGAAATTTTTTGAGTTACTGTTCAGGAACTAGGAAGTCATGTGAGATAGAGCACGCGATATCAAGATCAGTTTTTAAAAATTTGCGAACGTCAACATACATATTGGGAGGCAAGTAGTATTTAACGTCATTTGAAAAGAAGTAATTTAGTAGTCTGGTGGTTGACTTCCTAGTTTCTGAACAGTAACTCATAGAATTTCAATCAAACTTCGACTTCAGGTAAGTCTCGTTTAATTTTCTTATTTAATTTAGTCACTGTTCTACGTCACTAGGAAGTCATGTGAGATTTTAAAGCAATGTGGACATGAGCAATAACTAATAGCAAAACAATATAATTGAAATTTCACATTTCATGTCTCACAAATGGCAGAATGTATATCATTGCCAAAGTTCTTCGCCTCAATTGGTTTATTATAAAATGTTTGAAAAGTTTGTTCATTACGCCATGTAGCTGCATTCATAATAGAGTCCATAGAAATATTCAATGCGTTTGCCGCAGAAGTTGATGCAGTTCTAGTACTGTGTGCACTGTAAGCCTCAGTATTTATACCAGCATCCTTTAACACGTATTTTAACCATCGGGAAATGGTCGCTGAAATGACCGAAT